TCCCTTTTTCGCCCTTCCAGTGGCGTTTGCTGGGCCGTGAGTCGGCCTGCGTATGGGATTCTGAAGCCTCAGAATCATAGTCATGGGCTTGGGCTTTTGTGACTTTTTTAGTCTGATCGGCAGTTGCCGTCATAACCCTGGATAACGCTTTCTCCATAGAGGCGGAGATGGCTTCCGCGATCATGGTTTGGAAATCCGCAGGGTTTTGGGGTGTATCCATAATGATAGGAGTAGGACCGCTGTAGTAGAGAAAGCACAGTAAACGTTGGGCTAGGGGTCAATCCCAGTGAGTGAAAAGGTACCTGCAGTACCCAGGCAACCCCAGCAGGGTAGTGTGTATATATATAATAACAATAAAATAGGAATATGCACCCCGGCAGGGTGAGAATGATAAATCTGGCAGCAAAAGCACCAGTTTCCCCCAGCAGGGGATATTGGGTTTTTTCTGGGCCTCACCCAGTTATATATGCATGTATATATATAGGTGGCACAAAATCCACCTGATAGCAGCGGTAATTAGATAATAGGGCCTCACCCTGAATGTAGCAAAATGGCACATAAATACACTGGAGAGCCAGTAATGATAATCAGTATGGGGCCTCACCCCAATGCACAGGTTTTTAACCTTATATGGGAAGGCTGACTGACCTGGTGACCCCTGCCTGATTGCGTCCGGTTACTGAGGTGATCGGTTGCCGAAATGAGGAGACCGCAATGCTCCTAAGATGGCGGCCGTGGATCTCGCGAGACGCGAGATCCAAGATGGCCGCCGGAGAAAAAACGGGAAGTAATTTCCCGCCGTGCGGTAGAAACAGCGCGGCTGTGAAGCCGCGAGGTGGGGAACGGGTGGAGGAGGGTGAGCGTTACCCTCAGTTAGGAGGAAAACGGTCGGTCCGACGGCGGGGAAAAGCCGGCGGACCGCGTGGGAACGAAAAAGGGGGGTAAGGGAAAAGCCCTGAGAAAGGGAAAAAAAGGAGAAAACCCCCCCCTCACCAAGGGATAAAGTCCCAGGGAGTAAAACGTCTATAAGAAGATGTACAGTAACTACCTATGTAAATACAAATATACAGTACATAGAAATACAGTAACTACAAATGTAATATAGCAAATATAATAAATAAAAGGGAAGAGCCAAAACTCTGACCTGTCTGCTGATGGAGCAGTAAAGAAAGAGGGGGAGGAGCCTCATCACTGTGAATATTGTACCTCCTACTGCATTTTTGATTGGTTAATGTTTCTCACTTTTCTTTACTGCTGTGTGGAGTTAGTAAAGAGAGTTATATGCAAAATATGAAGCCTCCTGTCATGTTGTAAAATTAATATTTATCTGTTGTGCAATTATATATTATAACCAATAAAACACATACAAATGGACACCAGTCGGTTGTGGTGTTCTGGAACCGAGAAAGCATAATAAAAGTGGGCCCACCTTAGAGGGTGATATGAATAGAGGGAGTGGTGGGAGGGGTGACTCACCAGACAATCCACGATAAGTTGGGAGTGGATTGGCAGCCCTTTTAAAGGGAAATCAAGCCCCAACCACAACTACAGGCAAAGCCTTAAAATTTGTAGTCGGGGCAATCTGGCCGTAATGAAAAGGGTAACATAACATATTATAACCAATAAAACACATACAAATGGACACCAGTCTGTTGTGGTGTGCCGAAACCGAGAAAGCAGTAGGCCTGTAATAAAAGTGGGCAAAAAGAAAAGTACCATACAAAATTTATACACATAACAAAACATTGTTTATTTGGACAAGTCACGAAAAGCTTGCGTTAACTCTTTAACTGGGTTTGGAATGTAAAGAGTATAGGCGGAGGGTTTCCAGCGTCCCATAGCCTTGATGATATGAGTTGGAATGTGGTTGGAGGAAGCTGCAGATGCTGCACCTATACGGAAGGAGTGTCCTGGAAAAAGGTTTGCATTTAGGCAGAGCCTAGTTAATAGTAAGCAAACTTAAAGCATGAATATAGATGTCGTAGGGATGGAGCCGTGAAGTTCTAATGTTGGTTTGCTTGCTTGGTTGTTATGGGAAGGTGATGAAATATTACCCAGGACACCATTGTTTTAGTAGGGAACAGAGTAATTTTAGGTTAAGGTGGCAAAAAGAAGTGAACCCCAAAATAGATACCACAGCAAACATTACTACTCTGAGACAAAGTGGCTGGGTACTCGTAGGCTAGCTAGATGCCAAGCGGCTAAGAATTATGCTATTGAGAACGTGACAGAGGAGTCCCTACTAATTGCCAAGCGGCATGAGAGGCGCTACCTATGCCTTGGCCCGGTGGGAAATATGAGGCCACCGAAATGTTGTGGCGGGGTGTCTGCCTCGGTGATAACTAAAGCATAAGATAGAAGGACAGTGACATAGGAGGCCCTCTCTATGCAACCATGCGAGGCGGCTAACTAGGATTTGGCCCGAGGGACGTATACCTCCGAGTATGAGGATGGGTGTCGGCCTCGCGGGACCACTAGCTTATGGATTAAGACCAGAAACAGAAACCTAGTTGGACAACCTAAATCTCAGGAAGCCAGTACCACTCAAAACCTAGAAAATGTACAGGGTTATGACATCGTACCTGATAAAGTTTGAGTCAGGCTGATGCTATGTGGAAAGATATGAACGAGAGGGTGGCAGTAGATGACGTGCTGCGACCCATGGATAGGACGTGCATGAGTATCTGTACGTATAGGTATATTGTAGTGAGCCAGATCGCGGGCCCGAATTAAATAAAAGGAACCTACCAGATACTATCGGTGAGCAGGGAGAATATGACCGAGGCAGATGACGGGTTTTGTGTTCGTAAAGCCACCGTCAGTATGGTCCAGTATGCGTAATGTAAATAAACACAAAACAGCAGGATCTAAGACACAGTGCAAAGTGGACTAAAAGGTAATAATTATAACACTCAAAGCTCCATCACAGCCAATGTTTAACGCACAGACTATTGAGAATATAAGTTTTAACATTCAGATACATTCACTATGTATTACCCCTAGGTGGAATTTTTTATGACTGTAGCATCATATGTAACCAGCAGAGGGGAGAAGTATCCTAAATTAGGTGAAAATTTGTGCCTATTTCGGCGTTTGGCCGTAATTTACCGAAAGGATAGAATGTATGAACAGCTGAAACAGGCGAATCAGTGTATACACTGTATCGTTCGAATACTGAAAAGATATATACAGTAAATTTCCCGAACGGCCGCGTTCGAAAATGAAGTGAAACATGCAAAGCATATGTGTACTAGAATTAGCCGAACGTTTTTTGATTGGTTGCAATACATGACAGAAAACCGAACGCTCGGTATAAATGAATGGAGCCCCACCGTGAAAGGTAGCAATTTTGCGGCTGTTGCTTTACGGCGGGGCCTGACTTACGGTTGAACCCGGTATTTGGAGCTGAGAACGATCTGCGCGGACGCCGCGGCGGGTAGAAGAGCCAGGGAGACACCGGACCAGGAGACCTAGAGGAAGACAAGTAAGAAACAATCCAAAATGGCGGTCTGAACCGGAAGTGACTCGCCAGACAATCCACGATAAGTTGGGAGTGGATTGGCAGCCCTTTTAAGCCCCTCCCACAACTACAGGCAAAGCCTTAAAAAAAAAAAAAAAAAAATATATATATATATATATATATATATAAATATAATTATTATTTTTTAAATTTATTTTAAATTCATTTTTTTTTTTTTTTTTTATTCTTTATTTTTGTTGTGCATAGTATTAACATAGCCAATCCTTCAATTCCCCAAAAGCACATGCAGGTTTAAGATGAAACATAACATTGTAAAACATTGCTGTTGATCAGCATTTCGATTAGACTGCGCAATTTAAGAGTGGATAAGTAGAAAAGTGAGCCAGGACATTTTCTTAAAGGTACATTTGAGTAATAGACACATGTATATCTAAAATGCTAAGAGTTAATTAGAGTTGCTTATGGTTAGGATATCAGTGAATGAGTAAGAGCTTTTACCATAAAACAGGGTGTTCAGATCGACCTATTAATTATGGGAGATATAGCTTAGGGAAAAGAAGAGCAGGTCAATAACCCCTTCCCGGCCTGTGAGGGGGGACCGGGGCCTGTGAGGTATGTCACAGGGCTGTAGTGTTGCTGCCAGGTTCGCAGGCAGGGCAGCGGCTGTCTGCCCCGCTCCTCTCCTGGTTAGGCCGCAGGCTCCGAAGTTTCGTACCGCAGGGGCCCCGAAACTCCCGATCTCGGAGTCTACAGTGGCGCCAACCTTCACCCATGCACTTGAGTGGACAACTCCGTTCCTTAGGACTATGATTTTTGCTATTTAGGTTAGATGTAGCAGGAGCCTCAGTGACATGCGAGCGGTCAGCATGGCGGTCAGGCCCCACCCCTTAAATTCTTTTTTTGCTGTGCGGTGATACATACACATTTCAGCATTGACATAAAGCATGAGAAACGAAAGCATTGTAAACATGAGGGGTCTAGATAAACTGCACTGTTTGGTTTCAGAATGTCAGTAGAGCAGTGATAAGGTTAAGGTGTTTAAACTGACAGATTTTTAAGGTATAACATCATGTGTGGTTTATGCACAAGGTCACATATTAATAAAAGGCCACCAGATTAAAAGCCAGTAGTTAAAGCTAAGATATACAAGGCTAAAATAGGTGGTATGTGGCTAGAGGCAAAATGCAAAGGAACAGGAACATTAGAAAATCGCTATAGAGAGTGGAACTCTACAGGAAGGCTTGAAACAAGCCAAAGTCAATACTTTATCCGATGCCTCAATTACAGTGTAGTTGTGAACCAGAACTACAGGTATTCCTGAATTGCTGAGTGAGTGCTTCACTGTGTCCCTGCCACATGTAGAGATTCTTCAGTCCACACGAATAGATAGGAAGGTACATCAGTTCCTCTGGTACCCAAACCCAGGCTGGAATACAAGCCAGTGCCTATATTTCACCTAGCCCTCCCATTCCAGCAGTAGGACTAAAGTTTGACAGTTTCCCTAGGTTGTGGAGGGCCGATGGGACCACTCACCATCTTGGCTCTCAGGCTAGAAGAGGAACAGGATGTCAGTACGAAGCAGGAGGCCTCCATGTTCATGGCTGAGGTGAGTGTGGGTTGCTGCTGGCGGGACTCGATCTGGGTCCAGAATGCTGCACACAGGGAGTCAAAGGCCGTCTGGACCTTTATTTCCCAGTGGAGCAGGTGCTTGGTCGGTCATCTTAGATTCGCCACTAGCCTCTTGTCTGTAAAATGAGTATAAGCTGCTATGCCTTGAAGGTGAAGTAGCGTTCCCTGATGGGAAACCGAGATATCCCCCACCAGTCCAAATGGGTGGGTGGGGGGAGAAACCGATCTGCTCAGCCGGCCAGGATGCCAGGAGAGCAGCCGTCTCTCGTCCGTCTGTAGACCGCAAAGTCGGGAGATCCAGTGAGTAGCTTCACGAGTTTAACGTTGGTGGGTTCGTCAGGATGCCCCGATCATGCAAATGGTTTTTATGCGGTCTGATCTGTAAATTGGTGGCTGTTTAACACTTGAAATCAGTGCTTGGAGCAAGAGCTCGCAAAGCATGAGTCTGCTCTGCTCGGATGTCAGGCACCACCCCCTCCGGAATATATTTATAAATTCCAAAGGCACTTTAAATCTTCTATATATTTTTTTTTGTTTTGCAGCAAATAACACTTTTAAACAAGTATACAAACCAAAATAAAGCAAGCAAACTTTAATAAGTATGTAATAAACCTCTGTAAACTTACTAAGATTGCATTATTGGGCACACCTTTCAGCTAGGGCAGTTTCTTCAGCATTCCCCCCCCCTCTCCCCCCCAATCTCTGTCTCAGACCAGTCCACTAATCACAAAAACATGGCGGCATTGTGCAAGAAGCTCCACATTCTCGCCTCTTTGATTAAAACATACAGAAACCTGACATCGGAATCTGCTCTGTATGATCACGTGATCAGACTCCCTGTCTTCTTCCCCTGTCAGTATGTGCTGGGTGTAAAATGTAAGGCATACCCAATGCACTTTCCCTGCATTCCTAGGGATGGGACACTGATTGGTCAGATTAGTGTCCCCCCTGGAGTTGACGTGGAAAGTATAAGAAAGAAGAAAACTGTAAATATACCATTTTACCTGCTTGGTGGTGAGCTTGCAGAGATATAGCCTGATCTTCCCAGAATCGACAGATGCAGAAGCAACTTAGAAATATGCTTGGCATCACTACACGATATTAGGCATCTGACTTGGAGTTTGCTGTATGTGGCAAAATAAATGGCTAAACATTCAGGTTAATGTGCTCATGGGATGCACAAATGGTACAGTGCAATTTAAAGGGACACTATAGGCACCCAGACCACTTCAGCTCATTGAAGTGGTCTGGGGGTAATGCCCAGATCCTTAATTCCTGCAATTGTAATTATTGCAGTTTTCGATGAATAATGAATAATTACCTTGCAGGGTTAACTTCACCTGTGGTGGCGGTCTACCAGATGGCCGCTAGAGGGACTTCGGGTGGTTAGGAGACTGGTGGCCTAAATAATGCTGGATGTACTCACGCTATGCTTGAGGACATCCAGCGTCACCCAAAATCCCATGGGAAAGCATTTTAGAATGATACAATGCTTTCCTATGGGGGAAGCCCTAATGCGAGTGCCGTGGACATCGATGCTGAAATCAGATAAGTTATTGAGGGGTTTTAACCCCTTCACCACCACATGGTAGGGGGACACTACAGTGTTGTTTTTCTAGCACTATCGTTTCCCTTTAAAGAGTGTTATCGTCTAGAGCAGTTATTGTCCCATAACTATACCAAACACAAAAAACAGGTTGTGCTGAATTCTGTGTGTATTAAATACAATAAAGCAATTATTTTGGCTTGGAATCGTCCAGGCTTCAGTTGGTGATGCGTATATTTAATCTGAAAATAACCATTAATAGTGCAGATAGTCAAATATTTACAACAAGGATACATGGGATCACGCTCACATTTATTAGAGCTATAGACCAGTTAGGAGTAAAACCGCGTACAGCAGTATTATTCCCACTGCTGGATATGTAGCTCTTAAGGGGTAAGTCTCATAGCATCCAGATGAATAGAAAGGAAACCATAGTGTGTACTGAGTAAAACCTAAAAGGGGTAAAGATATAAATTGTAATTACTCACATATAGTAGAGCAGTAACACAACTGAAGAGAAAGTGCTTGGGTGGTATGATCCCCACCAAAGATATGTTGATTAGAGTCTCCTGAAGGCAGTCCTTGCCAGGGATTAGATGTAGAGTAGATAAGATACTTCATGAGTTTTAAATGTGTCAGGAACAATAAAAAGTATAATGGTCTTGCCCCATAACTGCCCAAGATTTTCTGGTAGCCAGCTGAAGGCCAACAGTGAAAACAAATGGTAGAAAGATACATTCACAGGTTGTGGTCCCACAGTGCATCTTGGGTAATGCACTGCAAGATTGCATGGGTATACCATAGATTAATGTGTGTATTCTGGACCATATTCTTCTTTAAAAACCATCCCATTATAGTCATTTAAATATTTTGTGTCTGTCTGGTTTTCTAGAAACATCTGTGTCTGCCTTTAGAAATTTCTTCTAGGAAGTTCCTTTTACCTTTCCGTTTGTCTGCTCTATGTTGCTTATCGTTTCCATTGTTCTCTTGCTTGGGATTACTTTATAATTATTTTATTAATGATTATGGTATGATGATGAGTTGCTACATTGTAGCCGATTATTAATCATGTGTAGGAGGTGCTGTGTGTCTCTCGTAACATACTTGCTATTCATCTCTGAGAGAGCGCTCCTGTGAACTCCTCACCCTCCATAGTAGGGGGGTAGTTTAGTAATTCAGTGTTGAGCAGACCCCTGTGTCATGCAGGCAGTTGTCGGATCTTGTCATATGCATTTTCCTATATGTATTTTTCTAGTTGGATGTTTCAGTGTAGCTGCCATAGAATTAAAAGTTTTTGTTTTCTCTCCCCTAATTATAGCTGTTTGATAACATGTTTAGCGTTCCCAAGTGTTGCCAGACAAAGGTTAAACTTTTTAATTTCTGTCTTTGGCACATAAAGCAATAATTTAACTTTTGCCAACTCGCTTAACACCGTAAGAATCAATGTTTCCTTCGTTACAATCTGATCCCTAAACAACCTTTGTAAGCTCAGAGAAAGCTTCCATGGGAATGGTGAATTCGGAATGTTTGACCTTTTATTGTCCTTGATCTGACCAAATTATGGGCAGAAAACTCAGTATCCAGTATCTTAGTGGTTCAGGAGTAAATGCCACAGTACTGATACATGATCCGCTTGGTTTTATCTATGCTGGGTAGAACACGGAGCAGCAACATTTGTTGTCTTTAGATTGAGAATGGTGTTTCTGGTGTGTGTGTGGTTAAGGAGCTTCTACACCATCTATAATGATCAATATATATATATTTTGTGCCCTGGTCATATTTTGGCTGTAAGATGAGTTATTTAGTATATGAATCAAAACCGAGTGATTCCGGACATTATTTATTACTCTCCAGTCTTTGTAAATGATAAACATTGCTTATGCGGTTGCCATGTTCATTTTCTCTAGGTAAATGTGTATATATTGCTTTATTTCAGGTTAAAGAAAGTAAAGGAAAGGAGAAGTTGGAGCGTCGGCTGTTAGAAGAGCTGTTCAAAATGTTCATGGACTCCGACTCTTTCTACTACAGCTCGACCTACGACCTCACCAACTCGGTCCAGAGGCAGAGTATGGGGGACAAGGGGAAGATACCACTGTGGCAGAGGGTAAGTGTTCAGGTGTGATGGAATATGATGTGTTATGTAGTGCGGCGTGTGACAAGCACATTGCGACAGAGAATCAAAAAAGATGAATGTTGGCATCCAAATTCTTTCCACTCTCTGAATGTTTTTTTTGTCAAAGGTCTTTGTTTTAGGTTTTTTTTTGAGGTTTGTTCTAAACGTTACAAAGTCTTTTAGTTAAGGCTATTTCAGGTTTCAAAGTCCATAGAGGGACACTGTGTGTTCTTTTTACTTGCCACACTATAACACATTTACTGCAATAACTAGAGGAACAAAAAGCGATTAAAGTGGCGCTGCCCTCAAACTGTCTATACATGGTTATAGACCTTAAGCTGTTAATAATTCAGCCTGTTGGGTAGAAAACCCTTATTTTCGGGTAAGTTAATCTACAACAGCGGGTACAGATGACTAGAGAACCCTATTTTTTCTCATATTGTTGAAAATGGTTAGGCACGAATTGGACAGGCAGTGCCCAAAGACTCATTACATCACTACAATGAGCTGTAATTCTACCATTATATGTAGTTATGTTGTTTAAAGTTCCCATTAAAATTCCCACTTCTGTAAGCCAATCAGAGGCCAGCCATTTGAGACTATGGCAGAGTTCAGGTTACAGCAAGGGCTTCAAACAATGGACTGCATTTCTTAATTTCTCTGCCAGCCATAGGCCATAGCCTGTCATTGAATTCTGGGATAGATATCCAGCAATATCTGAAGGGCCAAATGTGGTCAGCGCTATTCTAGAGAATGAAAAATAAGAAAAGCGTCTGCGTTAATAAAATTTAAACAAGGTAGGCATCGGCCCAACAGAAGGTAACCCTCAAACCCTCTGAGGAGAACATGGAACACAAAGAAATACAGGAAAAGGGCTGCGCCAATAGTGAAAAGGTACAATCGTTCGTCTGAATAGGTAGGGCAATATAACGTAGTTGGTCTTACTGATATGATGGGACTAAAGTTCTGATGGAGTAACTGAAGGTAAAGTTCGATAATATTGAGGTCTCACTTCGAAGTAAGTATCTTTATAAGGTGCCTGTTTTGGGGTGTAGAGTCCTCAACGTCCCCAGTGGTCCAACCATCCCGCTTATATGCAAGAAAAAAACGAGGAGACCCAATGGTGCAGTATATAAAAACCAACATGGGTAAAATAAACAAATATGTGCAATCAACTCACATTAAGTCCGATAATATTGGTTAGAGCACTAACCCATTTGATAAAGCCCTAGTGGTGAAACGCGTTATGGTTATTTTGATTGTGTATTTTTTAATATAAAAGGCTTTTTGGTTACAATTTTGTGCCAATCATCTTTTTAATACACGTTTTTTATTTGGAATTTTTAACCTGGCTTCCTTTTACCTTCATGTGACTCCAAGTATATCCGAGGTGGGGATCATACCACCAATGCTGACGTCACAGTGCAGTTTGCCTGCACTTCACTTGTGAGTACATTTTTTATTTATGTTTACTGCATATTTCCCTCTGGAGGACTCCTATCACATCCTTTAAAGCGGGGATTATACCGCTGTACGCCCTTCACACCAAAGCTGGCTATAGCTCTTTTAAATGTGAGTTGATTGCACATATTGGGTCTCCTCGTTTTTTTTCTTGCATATAAGCGGGATGGTTGGACCACTGGGGACGTTGAGGACTCTACACCCAAAAACAGGCACCTTATAAAGATACTTACTTCGAAGTGAGACCTCAATATTATCAGACTTTACCTTCAGTTACTCCATCAGAACTTTAGTCCCATCATATCAGTGAGACCAACTACGTTATATTGTCCTACCTATTCAGACGAACGATTGTACCTTTTAACTACTGGCGCAGCCCTTTTCCTGTATTTCTTTGTGTTAGCTATTCTAGTGAATGTCTGTTCTGATAGGGCTGGATTACCTACCATCAATTACTTCCAGATACCTGGTGTCAAGCTGCTATATTGCGTGCATCACTCTGTGAGAACGATCATGTTGTGCTATAGTGATAATGGATTTATCCTGTGTTTTGTCCTACTCAGAGCTACATTGTTGCCAGGTTCTTAGGACATTTAATTTTGATGTTGGAATACCTCACTAAAGTCTTGACTTAATTAGTGTCAAATGATTTATCTACAAAAATTGCCATATACTTTAAAGGTGACTTCTATGCATTAATCATTTGGAAAGATGACCTTTTGGATTGTGATTATTTGAAAATCTTATTCAAAAATATTAAATTAGGGTCTCTGTGTTTGTGTCCCCCTCCCCCACAGGTGGACGACCGATTCTTTTGGAACAAGCACATGATGGAGGATCTCATTAAACTTGAGGTGAGCTTAGTGTCTGTCGGGGCATCATTAATGTTGGGTATTATTTAAAATGTCCGAAATAATAATTCTGTGAGAAGAATAGTTTACCGCTCTGTGATGAAACTACATCCCTGGTGCATCATTCATTCGTGTGTTTTCCCCTTGGTATTATTATGTTTCCCCTAGCTTTTCACGTATTATGCCCTGTTCCCCGTTTGGGAGCGTTCATACGAACGGAACCCTTTCGTCTCCCGAACATGTGTGGGTTCTGGAGGGTGGTGGGGACACTTTTGGGGCACTGGCCAGTTTGGCGGTCTTTCTGTGCCTGGGGGCCAAAGACTAGGTCCCTTTTCCCGCACCAGGGCTCCCAGGCACGGAGGTTCCTGGGATAAAGACCCCTGTCGCTGGGTGTGGGAGACCCCATTTGTATGTGGGGTGGGCTTTCTGTACCTGGGAGACAAATAGACTAAGTCCCCTTTCCTGTGTGCGTGCTCACAGTTACACAGGATCCTGGTAGAAACCCCTGGTTGGTTGGGTGGAAGACCCCTTTCACAGGGTTATGCATAAAAGCTGTGTGTGGTATAATAGTGTTGTTGTACCCTTCATCTAGTCTCGACTGATGTTTGAGGTAAGGATCGACCGTTATTGATATTTTTACAGCCGATACCGATAACCTGTGAACTTTCATGCCGATAACTTACCGATATTCTGTACATTTACCATTTTGAAAAAATAAACTATTTCTAAAGGTAAATGCACAAAATATACACGTCACATGTAGTGGATGCAATGTGTTTAGACAGGGGAGCTGTGTGTGTTTGTGTATCGTGTGTTTTAGTGAATGCAGTGAGTGTGTAGTGTGTTTGTGTAGTGAATGCAGAGTGTGTGTGTGTGTGTGTGTGTATAGTGAATGCAGAGTGTGTGTGTGTGTGTGTGTGTTTGTATAGTGAATACAGAGTGTGTGTGTGTGTTTGTATAGTGAATGCAGTGTGTGTGTGTGTGTTTGTATAGTGAATGCAGAGTGTGTGTGTGTGTTTGTATAGTGAATGCAGTGTGTGTGTGTGGGTATAGTGAATGCAGAGTGTGTGTGTGGGTATAGTGAATGCAGAGTGTGTGTGTGGGTATAGTGAATGCAGAGTGTGTGTGTGTATTTCTGTAGGTATGTAATTTGTGTTTAAATTGGGGGGGTGGGGGCATTTTTTAAAAAAAAACAACTTTTTTTTTTGTTATTTTTAAAAAATATTTACATTTGTTTGGTTGTTTTTTTTTTGTTTTTTTTAGTCCCCCCTCCCTGGTTCTTACTTGGCCAGGAAGGGGGGATATGGCATTCCCTGGTGGCATGGACTGTGCAGTGGGGACAGCAGCAAGCTCTTTCCTTCCCAGCATGGTAACCCGTGGCAATGCTCTGACGGCCGCGGGACTCGCGACATTTACACAGGGGAGCTGCTGGGAAGGTAAGTAAGCGCTATCTGCGGGCCCTCCCAGGACCGCCGGGTTTGTAATGGGCCCAGCGGTCCTGGTATGTATTATCGGCAATATCGGTATCTCTATCAGATACTGATATTGCCGAAAAAAACCTAATATCGGCCAGGCTGATCATATCGGCCAGACCGATAATCGGTCGATCCCTAGTTTGAGGATGTGTTTGCTGAAACAGCGGGATTTACTTGTATGCTGCACTTGGGTTCTTGTGAAATGTACGGCTCAACGCCCGAACTGCGAGCTATAATTACTAAGTACCTAACAGTTCGGGAGGAACCACACGAACGGGCATATGAAATACCAGCGTTCGTTACACACTCCATATATACAACGCTGTAAAATTTCACAACTTAATTATGTTGAATCTCTTTTTTTTTTTTTTGTGTAAAAAGCCTTAACGATCAGCACTAGACAGATTTAATGTGCAGTGGAAAGTCATGATATCAAATTATAACATTTTATACCAAAATGTACTTCCCATTTTCTGCTGTAAAGTGGTATACATAGCATCTCTGAATGCTTTGTGTATTCAATGCTCCCAGAATGCAAAATACAAATATCCACATGTAGTAGACATTTTAAAAACTCTGCATCATGTAAATTCTGAAAATCCATTTACTCAAGTCAGTGGAATGTTACTTATGCTTTATCTCCACGAACTTAAGGATCACTATAGGGTCAGGAACACAAACATGTATTCCTGACCCTATAGTGTTAACACCACGATCTTGCCTCTCATGCCTCTATAAATATAGCAAAATCTTACTGTATTCAACTCTGAAGCTGTAACTTTGCATGCTGTTAGACTCAGAAAAACAAGCAGTGTGCTGACATCATCAGAAGTGGTGGCCTGATCCAATCACAGTGCTTCCCCATAGGATTGGCTGAGACTGACAAAGAGGCAGATCAGGGGCAGAGCCAGCATGATTCAAACACGGCCCTGGCCAATCAGCAGCCCCTCATAGACATTGAATCAATGAATCTCTATGAGGAAAGTTCAGTGTCTGCATGCAGAGGGAGGAGATACTGAATGTTTGGATGCATTTTAGGCAGCCATGATCCAGGAAGGATCTCTAACAGCCATCTGAGGAGTGGCCAGTGAAGTTATCACTAGGCTGTAATTTAAACACTGCATTTTCTCTGAAAAGACAGTGTTTACAGCAAAAAGCCTGAAGGTAATGATTCTACTCATGAGAACAAATTCAATAAGCTGTAGTTGTACTGGTGACTATAGTGTCCCTTTAAATTGTGATGCAAATGTTAATAGTGAGACAAAGACTTGTACAAAAAGTCCATTATTAGCTCTTAATTTTTGAAGAATTTGACAGAAGAGGTGCACGTGTCTAATGCATCCCCCAGATTGTTACAGTTCCTTCCTGCTCAGAACCTTGATTTTCCTTCATGACTCATTTCTGCAGGATCCGCTCCGGAGTTTCTGGATCCTGCCGATCATTCAGGGGTTTGTGCAGATTGAAGAACTGGTGGTGAATTATAATGAGTCCTCCGATGATGAGAAGAGCAGTCCAGAGACGCCCCTTCAGGAACCAACATGTGTTGATGATGTTCACCCTCGGTTCTTGGTGGCTCTTATATCGCGAAGGAGTAGGCATCGAGCTGGTAGGTCTGCAGCAATAACCAACAGCTGTCACTTAAAAGGACACTTTAAGCATAAGAAACAACAACTTTAGCTTAATGAAGCAGTTTAGGTGTATAGCTCATACCTTGCAGTTTCACTGCTCAAAACTCTGCCATTTTCTCTGCTCATCCTAACACACTTACTGCTCTGCACCCGCAGCCCCTCCCGCAGCAATGTGAAGTGTTAAATAGCCCTTTATTTACTTACCCGAATCCCGTGGCGATGTCCCTCGGTGCTGGGTCGCACACCACCTCCTACTGATGAGGGGGACCTAATACGTACACGCGGCGAGCTTAGGGAGCGCATTAGGTCTCAATGCTTTCTTATGGGGGGTTTTCCTTGACACTGGATGAACAGAGTTAATGTTCATATTTGTTTGTTTCTTTTTTTGGGGTTTTTCACACAGAAACTTCCCTTTCACTGCTATCATTGTTATTCTACGTTTCACTGCACTAAAAAACTCATATTTGTGTTCAGTGAAGTCTTACAAGTACAACTGTACCCCTTATGGACAGGTTTTATGGGGTTTTGTGGAGTTACAGAGTCAAATATAGAGCTTGCATATTAACTAATCTGGACTTTCTCAGGTAGGTCCCTATATAATCAATAGAATCTTAAGATACACTTAGAATTAAATGATAAATATATTCGAAGTGTATATTTATATATTATTTTTACACAATTAAGTGGTTTTATTATTTATATGTTGGGGGATCTGCCAAACTGTCAGTTACACCATTCTGAGTTGTGATCGCGATCACATGACTCAAATCGGCAGAATTGGGAGCAGTGGGACTGCCTGGGTTGTCAGGCACTATCCCGAATATTTTAAGCATTTAGTCTGGAGGGAGGGCCCGAGTGTTGGGGCATGCCATGCCGCCCTAATGGTGCTAAAGCCCATCTTTTGTAGGAGGGCATAGTACGTCCTAACGCTAAAAGGTTCTAGAGCCTGCAGGAGCCTAGTTTGTGTGATTAAAGCTGAATTCAGAGAGTAGGAGATAAAAACTTCTGAAGTGAAAACTCTTTGCTGATTGAAAATGAAACTATATATATATATTTAATTTATTTTTTAAATTTTTTATTATGTATGTTTATTATGTATGTTGTGTGAGCAGAAACAAAAGTGATTTCACTTCTAAATGGAGATATATATAAATAAGGGATTTAAAGGAACACTATAGGGTCAGGAACACAACCATGTATTCCTGACCCTACAGTGCTTAACCCACCATTTAGGTGGCTTGCTCCCTTAAAAGCAATTCAAACTCACCTTATTTCTAGCGCCGCGCAGGCTCTGCCTCCTTTGTGACTTCATCAGAATTGCTGATTTTTAGCCAACCCACTGCTTTCCAATGGGGAAAGCATTGGATTGGCTATCTGCAATGGGGTGGGGTCAAATACCGTTTTGGCCAATCCACACTTCCTCATAGAGATGCATGGAATCAGTGCATCTCTATGAGGAAAAATCAGCATCCCCATGCAGAGCGTGGAGACACTCAACAGCAGTGCTGCCTACTGTGTAGCCAGGGTTGCCACCTGCCGGTATTTGATGCACTGTGGCTGGTGCCGGTATTGCAAAAATTTCGGCACCGGCCACCAGGGTGAGCAGTGCTCTGAGGCCGTACTAAGTACTCTGTGCTTGGCTGTGTGGAGAGTTCTGAGATGGGATGTCGCAGCTTGTCCCTGCCCTTTCCACTGATTCCGCATGGGAGAAGCAGGAGGAGGAGGTGGAAGCATGACAGTAGGAGTTGTGTGTGTGTATATGCAGCAATCTGTGTGTGTTCGCTCAGCAATCTGTGTGTATTCAGCAGTGTGTGTGTTCAGCGGTCTGTGTGTGTGTGTGCAGCATTGTCTGTATGTGTTCAGCGGTCTGTGTGTGTGTGTGTGTGCAGCATTCTCTGTAGGTATTCAGCAGTCTGTGGGTGTGTACTTGGCAATCTGTGTGTATGTACTCAGACTGCTGAGTACATACACACGTACTCAGTCAGGGTGTGTGTGTATGTATGTGTGTATGTATGTGTATATATATATATATATATATATATATAGTGGAAAATGTATTCATACTTACCTTAATTTTCTTTTCCTGGCTATTATTCATGGCAGCATATACACATGGGTTAGCTCCTCCCCTACAGCCGATAGGACAGGAAAACCACCAAGGTTTTAAAAGGAGGCTCCATCCCTAAGGTCCTCAGTTTACAAGCTCTACAGTACATAAATAGAGACATTAATGGGTGGGAAGTATATGCTGCCATGAATAATAGCCAGGAAAAGAAAATTACGGTAAGTATGAATAAATTTTCCACTTTCCTGGCTAATCATGGCAGCATATACACATCGGGAATACCCAAGCTTACAAAGGGAGGGACAGAATAGCCAATGAAATTATCAGAATAATTCAACGTAGATAGAAGAATTAACTGAGTTAAGTGCTTGAGTACCAAATTGTGCATCATAGACTGTTTTAACGAACAGTATGACATGCCAGACAAACGTGTCTAAAGAGGTTCAAATGCTAGCTTACAAAAAGTGTCAGCAGAAACCATTGCCATGGCAACCCATGATGCTGCAACAGCATGAGAGGAGAGTGCCCTGATACCCTCCAGCACAGGTAGAGAACGGACGTGACGTCCAAATTGTGCCTCATTAATTGCTTCAATGTTCAATATGTAATGCAGGACAAACTAGTTCAAAGAGGTCCAAATGCCAACTTTACAAAGTTTCAGCAGAGACCATTGCCATGGAAGCCCACGTGATGCTGTAACAGCACTAGTGGAGAATGCCCCAAATCCTTTGCTACAGGTAGAGAATGGCATTGAAAGGCTCTCACTTTAGGCACGATCACTGGTGCTACATGCAAGATAACCATATCCTGTTGAAATTCAGTGAATGGGGGTACACAGGATCAAGCCTGGAGTTCACCCATTTCCCTTGCTGGGGTACCAGCCACCAGCACTTTCTGTGCTACCACCATGGAAGCTCCTTTTAGAGGTTCGAATAATGGTTCAGTCAGGGCCCGTGACACCAGTGGTACGTCACATATTGGCTACACCACACTCAGTGGAGGCTTGATTTCAATCAATACCTATATGAAGCAAAGTGCAGCTAAGTGCACACATTCACCCTGCTGAGGTACCAGCAACAGCAACGTCTGGGCTAACATCATGGAAGCTCCTGCTAGAAGTTCAGTCAGAGTCTGTGAGACCAGTGGTACTTCACATCTTGGTTTCAACACCCTCAGCGGAGGCTTGAGTTAAATTGTTGCTTACATGAAGCAAAGCATCAGGGGCATCAACGCTCAATCGGTACCCTTCAGTACAGGTAGAGAATGACATAGATAAGCATTCACCATAGGCAGGATCTTCAGGTGCCAAATGCAAGATGACCATATCTGTTGAAAAGTAGTGAAAGGGGGTTCACAGGATCAAGCCTGGAGTTCACCCATTCTCCTTGCTGGGGTACCAGCCACCAGCACTTTCTGTGCTACCACCATGGAAGCTCCTTCTAGAGGTTCGAATAATGGTTCAGTCAGGGCCCGTGTGACCAGTGGTACGTCACATATTGGCTTCACCACACTCAGTGGAGGCATGATTTCAATCAATGCCTATATGAAGCAAAGTGCAGCTAAGTGCTCCTCTAGAGTGTTAAAACACAGAACCTTTCAAGGCCTGAACGAGGAGTAATTCCAACAGACAAAAGCATGTCAAGCTTAGTAAAACCTGTATAGGATTGTAAGAGGATCTCAATGACCGTCTCAGGGATGCCTATACTAATATGGACTACCACATCAACACCAGAAATTGAGGATCCTGGTGTGTCATGGGGCCTTGTAATAGTTCTGGACGTACAGGAATTTCCCTTGGAGGTTCCAGAATCAATTATTCATCATAGGAATTAGAGTCGACACAGTCTTCCACTGTGACCTTTTGCATTGCCTTTTTAAGAAGGTCGAAAACAGGAAAATATGTACATCAGACTAAAATTCGAAATTTGAGCCAGTGTATCCTGATCCTGAGCATTCTGGTCCTAGCATGTAAAAAATACTTCTGGACCTGTTAGTTCCAAGAAATGGCCATCAGATTTATGTAGGGTATCAGACAATCTGCGTCAACCACAAGGCTACGTCAGGACATGGTTGCCAATCCACCTTGTCCACAGTTATTCGGCTCCAGCAAACAGCCATGGCATCCTGAGCCACTGGTTGTTCTTCTGTGCCCTGATCATTATGGGCTGGAATTCCATCAATACATATCTGTGAGACCCATCTTGGTAGATATAGGTTACAGTTGCATTGATATTTGAGCAAATTTGGACCCACTCGTTCTTCAGCAAGCCTCTGAAGTGAAGAAGAGCCTTGAAAATGACTCTTAATTCCATACACATGAATGGAAATATTGTGCAACATGGTCCAAACACTGTGCAACTAATCTTATAAAAACTGGAATTCGAGCTAATAATTGACCAATGAGGTTCTGTTCACTGGAAACTCAGAGATCTAATCCCTCTTTCAGCTGCCAGGGTAAGGTGCAACTCCACTGATTGGGACATAGTAAGTGGCTGGCTCCAATAATCTTTCTCTTGTTAGACCAAGATAGGAAGGATCTGAAAGGAATCCAGAGATGACAAGTCTGCTGGTGGAAGCCAGGATTCCTAGTAGTTGCATCTATTTTCTTGCGGTTACCAAGCAGAAATGAAGAAACTGGGAGAGAAAACCTTTACAATCTGTGGAACTGATCCTGAGATAGGGAAAAGCAGAGCCTAGAATTTTCCACTCGGGAATGTCAACCACTGAGCTGGTCTGAAACTGCTTTTCTTGATATTCATCAGGCAGCCAAACTTTAGGAGTTATGAAAGAACTATATACCTATGTGTGCCTGCCTTCTGAGGGTCTAAGGCTATCAGAAGTAGATTCTCCAGATAATGGAACCAGGTGGAGTTCTGGACTCTCAATAACACTATAAGCACAAAGAAAGATTCTTTGGGCCGCATTGAGGCCATATGGTAGGGCACCAACATGGAAGTTCTCTTCTGAGCTAATGCCGAAGATCTCTGCAGATTGGACTGAAAGTAAGCATCCTTGAGATATATAGAGGTAAGAAAATTATCCTTCCAGATTGCTTGAGATATGGATCTGATTGACTTCATCCTGAAGACTCTAACATTCAGCCTCTTGTTGGCCCCTCTTAGGTCCAGTGTAGGCTTTCATGTGCTTTTCCTCTTAGCACCAGAAGAGAGGCGAACCTTGATCCTGGAACTGCTCTTGTTCTGGGACCTAAAAAAAAAAATCACCTCTTCGTCCAGAAGGCTTCTTCCTTCAGTGCTTTACCTTTTGATTCATTGGTCTTAATACTCCTGTTGGTATGGAGACTCCTGTGCCCGTTAAGAAAAAACTCCAGTCTATATCAATCTGGACCATGGATATAACTCAAGCCTCCAGAGTATGACGATCCCAGGTTTGTGTGATCAGAAAAATGAGGCTCCTAGTACTGGAGGAGATATGTTTATTGCTGAAGAGCAAAACGACTGCGTTATAGCTCCATTAGAACCTTGAAAGGCAGGGCCAGTAGCTCCATGTATCTCAGAAATACTGGTCACTGGAGGTTCTCCGGTCAGACTATGAGGAGTTGGGATCCTTGGAACTTCCATCCTAAGGTACTAATATCTTGCAGCCCTCATTCGCCTTTTCAATGGAATTATCCAAAATTTTCCCAAACAGCAACACCCCTTCAAATAGAATGGTGTAGAGGGCAGACTTGGAGGATGAGTCATCATCCCAGAAACAGAACCATAATGCTTTCTTAGCTGCTATAGATAAAGCCATTTGATCCAGAGAATATCCTAGTTACATCTAGGGAAGTTTCTGTGAAGAAGTCAGATGTAACCTGAAGACTTCAGACTGCCTCTTCAATCTTGGCTTTTAATATCTCTCTCCATAGTAGCCTTTAGATCTTTAATCACATATTTCATGTTTGTAGAAACAGCAGCGGAAGTCACAGCTGGCTGGCCTCCTGCAATGGTAGGCGTAACATTTTGGACAGGTCTGATCCATAAGTTTGCCACTTAGGTGGTGTAGTTCTGGGGTTGGAAATAACGTCCTCCACAGGGTAAAGCCTGGCCTCTTTTCTTACCCCTAAGGCCTCTGGAACTTACTTTGTAAGCCCTGCCCGCATGTCATGTGGCTGCACAGTGATAGGTCATGCTGAAGCGACAACCTTCTGGAGGAAGTCAGTGCATAACCGATTCCTTCCACAGTTTTTTCCTCATAACCAGATCGTGGTGAAGAATCAGACACCTGACAAATAATAATAACTAAATATTACCTGTGGTAAAGTATTAAGAAAAAATGTGCACTGTTAAATTCTATAAGAAACCAGCGAAATAGCTTTAAAACAGGCTAAAGACAGCACTTATCCATGTCTGGAGACCCTGCAAATACTTACCCAATTAGTGTATGTTTACTGTAATTTTCCCCTTTATTTTAGGTACTTTCTGGCAATTGCCCTTATCCCAGATGGCTGCCACAACTTGTATTCCCACAATGCAGGTTATCTGTATTAGGCCCAATAAGGCACAAACTGCACACATGTGGGCCTATTCCGAGTGTGTTTGCTGTTTAGAGACCAGGGAGAGGACCCTGTCTGAAGCCTACATGGCCCCTAAACACCCAGTGACCGGGAATAAATCACTGGGACCAAGGGGGAAGCAAAATAGAGAACAAAAGTGCCTACAAGGAAGTATAAAAGGCAACCATGGGCAAAAAGTCAAAGTTTAAAGGCACCACAGTCTAAAGGCCTCAAGGTATAAAAGGTAACACAGTTTCCAAAATGTATCACAGTATTTAAAATATATTAGTTTTCCAAATGTACTGCGGTTTCCAATGACTTGCGGTATTACATGCAACAGTATTAAATGCAAATTTAAATGAAACTGTTTTAAATGCAACACAGCTTAAATGCTTCCTATCAAAAGCACAACCGCATAATGTACCACAATCTTAAAAATAAGGTACAGCTGTATAATGCACTAGTTTAAAGATATCAAAGCTTAAATGCATCACAGCATAAAAGCACAACTGCATAATGAACTATAGTAAAACAGCAAATAAAGTAATGAAGATAAAACAACATACATGTCCGTAAGTAAAGGGAGCAAATTGCTCACGTCCTAAGGGCTGTAGGACAGGAAAAAGACTGAGGACCTTAGGGATGGAGCCTCCTTTTAAAATCTTGGTGGTTTTCCTGTCCTATCGGCTGTAGGGGAGGAGCTAACCCTTGTGTATATGCTGCCATGATTAGCCAGGAAATATATATATCTATAAATAAAATACAAATAACCGCAAATATATATAATTACATAAATAACTACATAAGTGTACACGTAGACTTTAAATACATATATATGTATATATATTAAAATTCGACGTGTATATTTAAGTAATATTTTAATAATAATGTGATTTCATTAATTAAAATTTGATTGACATGCCTGACAACCCAGGCAGAAAGTGCAGAGAATTTGAATTGCAAGCACTCTATTTAACCCTGTAACTTTCCAAGACACCATAAAACCTGTATATGGGGGGTACTGTTTTACTCGGGAGACGTCGCTGAACACAAACATTAGTGTTTCAAAATGGTAACTTGTATTACAACAATGATATTTTTAGTAAAAGTTAAGTTTTTTGCATTTTTCACACACGAACGGCACTTTTACTGACAATATTATTGTTGTAATATGTTTTACTGTTTTAAAACACTTATTTTTGTGTTCAGCGAAGTCTCCCAAGTATAAAAGTACCCCCTATGTACAGTTTTTATGGTGTTTTGGAAAGTGAAAGAGTCAAATATAAGGCTTGCATTTCATTTTTTTCACATTGAAATTTGCCAGATTGGTTATGTTGCCTTTGAGAGCGTATGGTAGCCCAGGAATGAGAATTACCCCCATGATTGCATACCATTTGCAAAACTAGACAACCCAAGGTATTGCAAGTGGGGTATGTCCAGTCATTTTTAGTAGCCACTTAGTCACAAACACTGGCCAAATATTTGTTTTTTGCTTTTTTTCACACAAAAACAAATATGAATGCTAAAGATGGGAAGAAAAAAAAGGATTTAAGGGCTGCGCTATTGTACAGAGAACAGTACCATAAAATAGAAACCAATTGGTTGAAGTGTATAATCAGCAAGTAATAAAACCTGGGTATAATAGTCTCTATTGCAATTATATAAAAATAATGAATAAAACAGAGTCCATCCAGATGTTCAATAAAAATCAAATGATAAGAAAAATGTTGAATAAAATCAATAAAAACAGTCTCACTGATATATGGATAGGGTATGTGTACAATCCTCAGGAGTTGATCCGTCCGGGTTGTAGATAATCCATATATGTGGAGATAAAAGAAAACACAAAAAACTGCCAATGGTGAAATATTGTAGCTCAAAGGGTAAAAATAAGTAAAAAGGAGGATTGTGCACTCACATTTGATGGAGCTAGGGCCAGCTCTGGGGTGAAGCGCACTTAGTGGTATAATCCCCACTACAGGATGCACTGGAAGGGTAGGTCCGTCCGTCCGGCTTGGGTTCCACCGTATTCCACAAGGTATAAGAAACAGCAAATAGTGCTCTCAGTAGGAACATTAAAATAAATAAAATAGCATAAAATATACTCACAAGAGTAGAGCAGAAAATACTGCTCTATTGCCACAATGCTTTCCTATGGATGCTGGCGTGCTCTCACTGTGAAAATCACAGTGAGAAGCACGCAAGCGCCTCTAGTGGCTGTCAATGAGACAGCCACTAGAGGAAATAGTGCTATGTTTATGCCTAGAGTGTGGGTGCCTAGAGTGGTCCTTTAAGCGCAGACTCTTCCCCTCTGTTTTTAAATTACGCCAGTGTTTGTGACTAAATGGCTACTACAAAAGACTGGACATAGCCCACTTGCAATACCTTGAGTAGTCTACTTTTGCAAATGGTATGCCATCATGTGGGTAATTCTCATGTTTGGGGGAAGGGATACCTACACTCTGGGGATTGCTATAATCACTTACTCCCCAGAGGAAGCTCTTGCAATAGCTTGATTTGTTCCTGTTCCTGCTCTCTGGGGAAAGAGAGGTTCACCCACTAAAGCTGGATCCTGGCCTTGGGTCCAGGGTGGGTGGAAACAGCAGAGACCCCGGCGCAGTTACAGGTATCTACTGCCACCTAAACGGATTGTCTAAAATTCTTTAAAAATACTTCCAGGTACGTACACCTGCTCACAGTATATCCAAATATGATCCCCAAATAATAGATAAGTACTGGCAGATAGGGTCATAGGGGCCAATAGCTGTTATATCCCCCTCTCTGCATTATGCTTCGGATTAGCGGGGGTAAGTGGCCCGAAGAAGTCCGTGACTTAGAAGGCTTTTTTACAACCTCTGCTCTCTTTGAGATCTACCCTATTGTAGCGGCTGCTGTGGCATGGGGACACCAATGGTCAGGCTTGTCTGTTCGTTGCCACTCAGATAATCAAGCCACATGTCACATAATCAACAAAGGCCGTTCATCATCCCTTACAATCATGAGGTTTCTTAGGAAACTCACGTGGTTGGCAGCATGTCATAACTTCTACTTGGTTTGCTTTCATGTACCAGGTATTAGTAATATAGCAGCTGACAGCCAGTCTCGTTTTAATTTTCAGGCTTTTTCGACAAGCACACCCGTCAGCCGCTCAAGCAGCCACAGTCGCCCCTCCGTTCACACAACTAATCATGGACTAGATATAATCATGCAACATAGTAGGGATCTAGCCAATTAAGCACTATCGCACAACACTCACACTACATATAACAGAGCCTTTACACTATTCAACAGATTTCTCGCCGATCACGACATATCACAACCATCTATTATAGCTTTCACTTCCTTTTGCCACCTTAAATTACACTTATCGTATAACACAATTAAGTTATATCTTACAGGCATACAACATCACATGCTAACCCTAAGACCTAACACACATAGCTTCATGTCGTCATACCAGGTAAAGAATATACTCTGAGGTATCCAAAAATCCGTACCTCCACGGAGACGTCAAATTCCCTACCCTGCTACAGCAAGGAAAGCTGAGTTATTTAAACTCCTAAACACGACAACAAACAATACGGAAGCAGGAGAAGGCCCCAGCAGCACCAATTCAGGGGACATCCAGGCTATGCTGGCCTCACTCATGAGCTCCATGGGCAAGGTCAACGACAGACTGGCTAACCTCGAGGTGGTGACCACAGCCCTCACCAAGGCAGGCCTTCCCGACCCCGTACAACCGACAGCAGTCTGTGTGTGTACAGCAGTCTGTCTGTATATCTCTGTTATAAATGGTATGTACACACATTGTTATATACTATATATACACACAATAACACACACAGACATTGTAGAAACACATTCAAAGTTACAGACAATGACGCACTACTACACACACACACAGACAGTACATACACACACTTACAATGCTATACACACAAAGTACAAACATTGTAAGTAGTTTATTAGTAAATTTTGGTATTTTCTACTTCCAAATGTTCTCATTCATTTATGTACGTCGTGCCCTGTGATGTAACGCATATATAATTATTTATGCAAATTAGAATGGCCGATATTTGTTTCCAAAATAGATGGCAACCCTATGTGCAGCCCTGAGCCAGGAAACCCCTCCAGTGGCCATCTGAGGAGTGGTCACTTGGTGTCCCTAGGGGCAATGTAAGTCTTTGCACAAAAAGGCCTACTCACCAGAACAACTACATTAAGCTGTATATCATACATTAAGCTGTATATCGTACATTAAGCTGTATACCGTACATTAAGCTGTATACTGTACATTAAGCTGTATATCGTACATTAAGCTGTATACTATACATTAAGCTGTATACCGTACATTAAGCTGTATATCGTACATTAAGCTGTATAGCTGTATATTATACATTAAGCTGTATACTGTACATTAAGCTGTATACTGTACATTAAGCTGTATATCGTACATTAAGCTGTATACTGTACATTAAGCTGTATACTGTACATGAAGCTGCATATTATACATTAAGCTGCATACCGTACATTAATCTGCATATTATACATTAAGCTGTATACCGTACATGAAGCTGCATATTATACATTAAGCTGTATATTATACATTAAGCTGTATACCGTACATTAAGCTGTATACCGTACATTAAGCTGCATATTATACATTAAGCTGTATACCGTACATTAAGCTGTATACCGTACATTAAGCTGCATATTATACATTAAGCTGTATACCGTACATTAAGCTGTATACCGTACATTAAGCTGCATATTATACATTAAGCTGTATACCGTACATTAAGCTGCATATTATACATTAAGCTGTATACCGTACATTAAGCTGTATACCGTACATTAAGCTGCATTTTATACATTAAGCTGTATACCGTACATTAAGCTGTATACCGTACATTAAGCTGCATACCGTACATTAAGCTGTATACCGTACATTAAGCTGCATATTATACATTAAGCTGTATACCGTACATGAAGCTGCATATTATACATGAAGCTGCATACCGTACATTAAGCTGCATATTATACATTAAGCTGTATACCGTACATGAAGCTGCATACCGTACATTAAGCTGCATATTATACATTAAGCTGCATACCGTACATTAAGCTGCATATTATACATTAAGCTGTATACCGTACATTAAGTTGCATACTGTACATTAAGCTGCATATTGTACATTAAGCTGTATACCGTACATGAAGCTGCATATTATACATTAAGCTGTATACCGTACATTAAGTTGCATACTGTACATTAAGCTGCATATTGTACATTAAGCTGTATACCGTACATTAAGCTGCATATTATACATATATGAAGCTGTATACCGTACATTAAGCTGTATATTATACATTAAGCTGTATACCGTACATTAAGTTGCATACTGTACATTAAGCTGTATACCGTACATGAAGTTGCATACTGTACATTAAGCTGCATATTATACATTAAGCTGTATACCGTACATTAAGTTGCATACTGTACATTAAGCTGCATATTGTACATTAAGCTGCATACCGTACATTAAGCTGCATATTATACATTAAGCTGTATACCGTACATTAAGTTGCATACTGTACATGAAGCTGTATACCGTACATGAAGCTGTATATTATACATGAAGCTGCATACCGTACATGAAGCTGCATACCGTACATGAAGCTGCATACCGTACATGAAGCTGTATATTATACATGAAGCTGTATATTATACATTAAGCTGTATACCGTACATGAAGCTGCATACCGTACATGAAGCTGCATACCGTACATGAAGCTGCATGCCGTACATGAAGCTGCATGCCGTACATTAGCTGCATGCCGTACATTAAGCTGTAGTTGTTCTGGTGACTATAGTGTCCCTTTAACTCCTAACTGGAGAGATGTTGTCCAGTGATACTATTTCACACAGTACATGTTATTGCAGCTAAATTAGATTGTAACCATTTTATTACTTATGTACGTATTTTATTTTATCTTTATTTTTTTTGAGAAGGAAACAATACAACTTAAATAATAAGCAAAGTCAGGAGAAAACTAAATCCAAAAATGGGCAAATTCTATATACTATGATTCTATGTTAAATCGAGGTAATTCTAAAGGAAAGGAAGAGATTGTTTCTTTTTTAGGTGAAGGTTTGTGTGCTTATGTTACCATATGTCTCTCTATGGTTGTTCGATCCTTCCTGGTAGTAATGTCTTGTATTTGTGATTGTAATAGCTTGGATTTTGGCCTCCGTGAGGTTTCACTGTGATCTGTACAGCAGGAGGGCTCATACATGCTTTGTTTTACTGACCGTCATAATATTTAGATTTGAGGAATTCCTGTTTGGCGTCTGTGCCGTTTTAGGTACCGAGTATAACAAACACGTTTTCGGTCTGCATCCTGTTCCTGGTGACAGATTATAATGACAAGAAACTGAGCTCACTGCAACCTGCTTTTACTAATTTTTATAGAAAAAAAAACGAACAAACATTTTTATACTCTATGGATTAACACGGATTTTATACAAGAGAAGATAAGTCATGGAAACGAATGTGCTGTTAAATTAATCAAATTAAAAATAGTGTCGCGCTTATATTTACCTTACTAATAATGTAAGGTATCAATTGCCTTGTGTCAAATTGTATGTGAAACTAAAAGTACAAATACAAGAATGTCTTCTGTACAACACACCCTAATCACAGTGTACTTTTATTTTTTATTTTATCTTATTTATTATATTTATTTAGATATAATTTGACACAAGGCAATTGAAAATCTATATAATTAGGGTAATTCAATATAAGTGCTCCAATTTTTTAACTTTTGATAATGTATACTTACTGGGTGGAGTATATAGGGAGAAAGTTCACATTGTTGAAGCTGCTGTTTGAAAATTACATTCGTTAAAAATAACCCCCCCCCAAAAAAAAACCCACCCACCATTTACACAACTAACGTGCTGTTACTGGTGTCTACCATCTTTTTTTTCATAGTGATAGTCAAAGCTTTTTAGTCATTGTATTTCAAACACTGTGTAATGAAGTACTGAGTAAATGCTACAAGTGGCTCTCTCACGCTCTTGGCTCTTTGTGTATTATGGGGGCTACTCTGTTTGTTTGTTGTGTGGTGGCCGCAGGGCACATGGGGAGGTGAGTTTTACTTGGCTGAACCTATTCATCATGGTCTTCCTGCTAGCACTCTCCATCTGCTGTACTTAGTCTGTCAGGAGTCCACGTCAGTGCTGTAATCTCATGCATGCGCCACAGTACAACTCAGAGATCCATGGAGAATCCAGCAAGCCAATGCTATTTCCCTACAGCCATTACTAGTGACAAGTGGGAAAAATTACAAAACTTGATGGCGTTAGCTCCTGCTTTTGTCAATCGTAGGTAGTATACCAAGACAAAGGAATCCCTACTTTACATTCGTATATGTGTTTATTGTGTCTATAGGAAGCGCTGATGTGTTTATACCTTATATGTAAAACTTAATATGTCCACTTACTTGGGAAATCCTTCCTCCTTGGACTCTCTGCAGTGCAAAGTTAAATAGGATCCTGAAATTAGGCATCTGTGACAGGGAGGGCACAAAAGGAGTAAGTGGGTAAGTGTTAATCTCATAAGAGCAGGCATAAGGCCGCTAGAGTAGGACCTGCCAAGAATGGGGTACCTTGACGTTGTGTCAGGCTTATGCAATGTATGATCCTATACCGTAACTAAACCCCAATATTTTTGCTGTGTGTGTAGAACACTCACATTAAATGTTGTTTGAGTATAACTGTCTTTATTTTTCTTCAGGGATGAGGTACAAGCGGAGAGGTGTGGACAAAACTGGACAAGTTGCAAACTATGTGGAGACGGAGCAGTTAATCCACGTCCACAATCACTCACTGTCCTTTGTCCAGACCCGAGGTTCTGTACCGGTATTCTGGAGTCAGGCAGGGTATAGGTACAACCCCAGACCACGGCTAGATAAAGGTAAGTCCAGAATGGATTAGATCTGAAATTCTTGTCATCAATCACTTTCGCTTTGTATTTGCGCCATGGTCATTTAATATCAGTGTTCGAGGGCTCTGATTTAATGTTACCTTGTGTTATTCTCAAACCAGTCAAAGGATTGGCTTGTTCTTTGTATCATTTTGTTAGTAATACGGGATTCTACACAACTATTATCATTGGCTTCCAGCTGTCCATGAATACCTGATAACTGATAATACATTTATTCAGTTGTTTGAATAAACAACTGATTTATATAGCACGTTACTCCATAAATCCTTGCTTCGGGAGCTCCAGATCAATATCGAGCTATTATACATTGTTCTAGATCAGTATGAATAGAGACTTGTTTCGCACTTTGTTCCATTTTGTTTTACCTACAGATGCAGAGAAATCTAGCACTCATTTATAGTTTTAACATAATTGACCCAGTCTAGAGACGCTTTTATTTAATTTACCTGTTGGAGTTCTAGAGCAGAGCTCTGCTGTATCGCCTCTTTATTAATCTTCCTTTCAGTTCTGATGATTGCTATCTCTGCTGTCCTTTGTTCTGGTTGTTGATTTTCTTGCTCCTGTTTTTAGTTTATGGTTTATTTCCCCTGGTGTTTTGCCGTTATTCTACATTTTGTCCATTCATCAGAAACCTGTTAATGAAACCTAAAATCATTCTAGTTCATTTACCATGGTTTGCTGGTTCCTGTAGGTGAGAAAGAAACCAGCCAGTATTTCTGTCTACATTTTAACCAAGAGCTGGACATCTACAAGAAGCAGGTACTGTTGTCATAATCCCCTGCTTGATATTCTCCCCATGGCCTGACTTCATCCTGACTTTTCCTGTCACTATTATTGAGGTTGTTTTGTTTATATTTTAGGTTCTTATAAACTTGGTGGACCAAGTAGGCAGAGAGAAGATCATCGGCGATGCCTATCTCAAACAAGTTCTCATGTTTAACAATCCCAACCTTACGTATGTCACCTTCGACTTTCACGAACACTGGTGAGAATATTTACTGGTACCTGCTTCACAGAAATCTATCGTATCAAACACACCCAGTATATCGAATGTATCCACCCAGGGAAAGGTATCGGTGCAGAGCTTATTACTTATTATGTAACTAGTGAATAAACCGTTCATTCGTGTAAATTCACACAAACATCTTCCCATGTTTTTAATGGGGAATAAGTTATTAAAACTTGATTACTAGTTGTGTTTTTTAAATACGGCCATGCTATTCTGCTCCTTTCTTCCACCTGAATAATTGTTGTTTATTTCCATTGGCATCTGAGTTTTGTAAGCGTGTTATTTGCCTTCTCACACAGCCGAGGGATGAAGTTTGAGAATGTTCAGACTCTGACTGATGCGATTAGCGATATCATCTTGGATATGAAGTGGGGCTGGTGAGTACAAGTTCCTGCCTGTTTGGAACAGTTTAGATCCTGGATTTCCTAGAGTCCTTAAGTGGTGTGGGTGCTTTACTTTTGATAGGGTGGACCAGGCCGGGGTGATCTGCAAACAAGAAGGGATATTCAGAGTAAACTGCATGGATTGCCTTGATCGTACCAACGTTGTACAAGCCGCCATTGCACGCGTGGTGATGGAACTTCAGGTAAAGAGCCCATAATGTTATGTAATGAATACCCACCTATACCTATACCTGCATTGGCTCTGTGTTATTGGAAGAAAAATAATCAGAATTGCAAGTTAGTTACATGATTACAATTGTCATGTGCAACAACGTCTGTCTATTAACAGATAGTAAAGTTGTAACATAAAAAAAACCTTGGTCATTCCACATGTTGTGGACTACATCCCCCATAATGCTTTTAAATCTATACTGGCAAAGCATCAGGGAAGATGTAGTCCACCACATCTGGAATACTGATGGTTGCCTTCCCCTGCTTTAAATGGTCACAGTGTAGCAGGAGGGAAGATTTCATGTTGTGTAATGAAGCCATTACGAACTAGTTTTGTCCTACGTAATCCCTGATGATCTCTATTACCGGACTAATGCTAAAAGCATAAGAGGTGGTAGCTCTTCAATGCCAGATTGTTGTCCTCATTAGGTTAAAGATTATTATTACTATTATTTTCCACATTAAGCAAGTCTCCGTGCTTTAATACATGGCTGATATAATGAATACCCAAGAAAGTGGTGCTCATTGGCTGAAGCTGTGAATGTCTCTTTCCAGTTTTTATATATTAATTACCTCTCGTTCACACAATGACACTGCTCTCTGTTCCCAGCTCAAGAAATTAGGTGTGATGCCCCCGGAGCAACTGCTCCCGATGAAATGTTACCGTCTGTACCAGATCATGTGGGCAAACAACGGCGATGCAATCAGCAGGCAGTATGCGGGAACCGCTGCACTCAAGGTACCTCATACTTATTGCACAAGAACTTGTATTCATAGGGCTGGAGGATGGAAGCAAACTCTGTACATCATGGTACCGTATACTGACCCACAATGCATTGCAATCTGTACATCATGGTACCATATACTGACCCACAATGCATTGCAATCTGTACATCATGGTACCGTATACTGACCCACAATGCATTGCAATCTGTACATAATGGTACCGTATACTGATCCACAATGCATTGCACTCTCTACATCATGGCACCGTATACTGACCCACAATGCATTGCAATCTGTACATCATGGTACCGTATACTGACCCACAATGCATTGCAATCTGTACATCATGGTACCGTATACTGACCCACAATGCATTGCAATCTGTACATCATGGTACCGCATACTGATCCACAATGCATTGCACTCTCTACATCATGGTACCGTATACTGACCCACAATGCATTGCAATCTGTACATCATGGTTACCGTATACTGACCCACAATGCATTGCACTCTGTACATCATGGTTACCGTATACTGACCCACAATGCATTGCAATCTGTACATCATGGTACCGTATACTGACCCACAATGCATTGCACGCTGTACATCATGGTACCGTATACTGACCCACAATGCATTGCACGCTGTACATCATGGTACCGTATACTGACCCACAATGCATTGCACGCTGTACATCATGGTACCGTATACTGACCCACAATGCATTGCAATCTGTACATCATGGTACCGTATACTGACCCACAATGCATTGCACGCTGTACATCATGGTTACCGTATACTGACCACAATGCATTGCACTCTGTACATCATGGTACCGTATACTGACCCACAATGCATTGCACGCTGTACATCATGGTACCGTATACTGACCCACAATGCATTGCAAGCTGTACATCAAGGTACCGTATACTGACCCACAATGCATTGCACGCTGTACATCATGGTTACCGTATACTGACCCACAATGCATTGCACTCTATACATCATGGTACCGTATACTGACCCACAATGTATTGCACGCTGTACATCATGGTTACTCTATACTGACCCACAATGCATTGCACGCTGTACATCTTGGTACCGTATACTGACCCACAGTGCATTGCACTCTGTACATCATGGTACTGTATACTGACCCACAATGCATTGCACTCTGTACATCATGGTACCTTATACTGACCCACAATGCATTGGACTCTGTACATCATGGTACCGTATACTGACCCACAATGCATTGCAATCTGTACATCATGGTACCGTATACTGACCCACAATGCATTGCAATCTGTACATCATGGTACCGTATACTGATCCACAATGCATTGCACTCTCTACATCATGGTACCGTATACTGACCCACAATGCATTGCAATCTGTACATCATGGTTACCGTATACTGACCCACAATGCATTGCACTCTGTACATCATGGTACCTTATACTGACCCACAATGCATTGGACTCTGTACATCATGGTACCGTATACTGACCCACAATGCATTGCACTGTGTTACAGATAGCGATCTCACTCTGCAGCAGGAGTTTATTAATCATATTTATCTTTTTAATAGAACACTTGTCTAGAATTTTCCCCTTTCTGTTGGTTTGAATACAGATTTGCATTACTATTGAACCCTAAATTACAGGACTCTGGCATGCCAGAAATGAGAAGTCATGTTGTAATTTGTTTTTTATATTTTTCATAAACCACTTACTATTTTTGTCAGGTGTGAAATCTCCCAGATAGTGATGTGTGAAATGATGATCAGTTTCCTATTTTGGGTGAAATGTGTGCAGTAGATTCACACTCCCACGCTGTAACGGCTAAGAGCAGAATCTGACAGCTTGCAAAAACATGTCCAATCGATCTCCTCGCTGTGTCACAGAATGTCACTGCGCTTTCATATCTGCCAATTGAAATACGGTTGTAGCGGAGGTCCCTGTACCCCAGCTGGGTACCTCCACCAAAGGGCTGCTTCCTACCTGGAACCGGGAAACGGATAGGGGAACTAGCTCTTAGTCCTTACAAGGACTTTCCCCGCTGTATCCCCTGCAAGCTGAAACAGCAGACACAGGGGTTAAATCTCCCTTCCCTGCAGTAACCAGAGGAGACACAGTTCTGGAGGTAAAATACTCTGACAATCTTTATTTGGAACACACAGCTTTTATGCACAGACCCCCACAGGGGGTCTCCATTCAGTACAACACAATCCCAGGCAAAAGGGGTCTGGGTTACAGATAGCCATCTCCCGCTCTGGGAGATACCACCAGTAAAACACTACATTTATGGGGGAACACTTAGGGGCTTGGCGCCCCGTGGTATCACTGGATAGCCCCGGGTCCCATCTAGGATCCCTGTAAATAGTGGGGCTATCTGATGTACAGAGCCCGAGAAATCATCTAAAGTCTGGGGCTCGAGGCTCTTTACATCCCAGAAATAAGTTCAATGGAGTTGCTTGGTTTAGTCCGGTGAATTCAAACTTCACGCCTAAACCAAGCAACAGCCAATCAGCTGAAATCAATCAGTGCTCAGGGAGGAGAGGGATTTCGTCGCCTAATCAGGAGAAAGGGCGTGAAACCTCATTTTAATAAAGGGTGCTCCTGGAGGGGCGGGGCCTGACCGCAGAGCCGAGTGGTTGACCGTCTCCAAAGCTCCTGCAAAAAACGCATAGAAAACCACCTTTCCCGACCCAAACGGCGACAAATCAGGCCACAAAGGCCAGCAAATGAAAGGGGACACTAAGCAGAGCACTAATATACCCCTCAATCGACAAAATGAGCAGTACCTATCAGACAAGCATCTGAAGCCTAATCGAAAGGCGGGCGTGGGAGGGACGGCCGCTCTCCCCCCGCCACAACTAGATGCCTCTGTAAAGAAGGGCCCTAGTTCCTCCCCCCTCCCCCCATCACCCCCCTGGACCGGAGGGGGTCATCCCGGTCCACCAGCCCACGGAGAGCACTCACCTCTGGGACACTCGTAAGCGCAACTCCGACCAAACGGCCCCACAAGACCAAGCCAAGATGGCCGACGGCAGGGCCGCGAATCCGGCGCAACAGACTGCTGATGAATGGGCAGCGGCCTACCGGGCTAAATTTGACGCCAGATGCTGGAAATATGCTGGAAATTTTCGGAGCGAGAGGAACCTACCTCCTGCTCCGATACCAGCTACAAAGGCGGCCGATCAAAGCAACAACACCACCGGAGCGGTTAACCGGCACTACGACTCGGTGGAAGAAGCAACAAAGGGACATTAACCGCCCAAAGCAGACAAGCAGAGCCCAAGCAGTGTTGCCAAAGCCACACAAGAGAGGCTCACACATACCCCCCTCAACCCGAAAGAGTCAACAAAGCCCAAAACGAGTAAGACACAGAGACGAAGGCCTACAGACATCACCCGAACATTGCACCACCAGTCCCATCACAACAGGCCTGAGGGGCAGAGGTTTACAGCCACCCACCACGCATCCAGCCAACAATAGCTCCTCGCTACAGCCCGGACCAGAGACACCACAGTTAAATACAACCCGCATGTACAAGGCACCTGCAGTGCCAGGAAAACGGTTTGTCCCTTTAATGATTTCCCTTGCGGTATCACAACGTTCTAATGAGCGTTCTAAATGGGAAATCAGGGTGGTCCCCGCTCAGGAGACGAACAGGTTCCATTCGTCTGAGCTCTCCCGACCGTGGAACAGGCAAAACACACTAAATAAATACCCAATACATGGGGAAACACACGAATAAGCAGTGGGCAGGATACTTAGTGAAGGTGGTCCATCACAACGGTCTTAACCCTTAAAGGGACACTGTAGGTCTGGGTGCAAACTCCCATCACCTTCAACCCTCCAGTGATAATTATTTTAGTTTTTATAAACTGCAATAATTACCTCTGAGGGTTAACTCCTCTTCTAGTGGCTGTTTCCCAGACAGCCACTAGAGGGACTTCCGGAATTGAAACCGACTTTTGGTCCGTTAATCTGATGCTGGACGTCCTCGCACTCTGCATGAGGACTTCTAGCGTCAGATTTTCCCCATAGGAAAGCATTATATAATGCTTTCCTATGGGGACATCGTAATGCAAATGCGGCCATTGCCGCGCATGCGCATTAGGTTTCCCCCGCCGACGTCCGAGGAGCGTGGGCAGAGCGGAGGGTTAGAGGGCCTTGACAAAGGGGAAATCTATAGTGCCAGGAAAACAAGCTTGTTTTCCTGGCACTATAGAAACCCTTTAAGTGATAGCTGAACAAACCCCCGATACCTGTATATTTGCCAAGCAGATCTATTGATGATTGCAGTTTAGTCAAATGGGAAGCAGCGCTGATTATTAAATCCCCTCCCATCAGTGCCACCATTTTGAAAATTTCATATGACCATATTTCTGCCAGTGTAGGCTGGTCCATAGGGGCAGGTGGACCCATTGATAAATAGTAAAACTGACAAATATTAACATTAAAACAGTCTATTGTCAAACCTTAAGAGATTGATACTTTCACTAATGTCACATCAAAAGATTACCAAGATTTCTCCAAGTAACCTTTTGTAGCTAAATCGATACTCTAACATTAGAAGAATAGATTCCGTGATTTATTGCTGGAGGGAAAATATTACTCTGTATACTTTAGACTGAATGACTAAGAGCCAAATAAAAGATAATATATGATTGTTACTTAACTACCTAATTCTTTTATCTGCAGTTTAAATAAATATTTGAGTTAAAGCGTTTCTCCAAGCACCTTAATTACAATCCTTTAAATGATTTGAAGTGATCACGGTGCCTGTAGTCTGTATGTGTAGTGTTTTCATAGGGGTGTTATCAGCCAACCTGGGACTAGAGTTATGGGCTGACTCATATCAATTCTGTGCAATTTCTGTTGCGCAGAATTGACGTCATTGGCTGAGAGTGGTCATCTGACGCTCTCTGCCAATGAATGTCAACAGCATTGACTTCCAGCTTCTACAGCTCTCCAGGGAGCATCAGGTCCTGGCATGGACCTAGGTAAGGGGGCAAACCATTGCTAAACGGTTTGCCACATTACTAGGGAACTAGGCCAGGGTACCCCTGACCTCATAACTGTGGCGGACCACCTTGCACTCCGACTGGGTTGCTCCTCCAATCGCTGCTTCCTAGTGCTCACCAAGTAATCCAAGCAACCACCAGACAACATCAGCACTGTAGACCCTTAGCCGCCGCAGCTAGACTGAGGTTTTGCTGTCCTCCAGACACCCTTGACCCAAGTCAGAGATCCAGCTTCCAGTGGGTAGAACTCTCCCAATCCAGAGAGTATAACAGGATAGCTCTTACAAGAGCTAGTGATATAGCCTGTATAGCCTTCTCCCACAGACATGAGACGAGACCCTATGCTGGGGATAAACTGGAACTGGTTTAATGGGAGCCACATGCGGCCTTTTATGCAACTCCCCATGTAAGGGGTTTCCTTAATCACATTCCAGGGGCATTCCCCACTGGACCTGAGAGAAGACTAGTTACAAGCAAACATTCCACACACTCCTCCCCTGTGCCTGAGAGATCATTACCTCAGCACACAACCACATAATTAACTTATCTCTCAAGCACAAAAACATACAATCTAACAAACCCCAAAAGCACCCCCAAAACACATGAAAACTCCACAAAAGTCACATCCCTTGATAGTCCTGATCTGGGGAACCAGGATATACATGTAAATCATAATTTTGACTAACCGTGCACATGGTCCTATGCACAAAACAGTTCCAGGTAATCAGTGATAACTGTCGGTCTCTTTTCGGGAGCGCAAAAGTACCTAAAACACCAAACGGAACACTTAAGTTACTTGTGTAGCCTGTTTCCCTTGTTCATGTAGAACCGAACGCAGGCGGTGATGGAAGTCCAGCAGTGTTCGGGAGTGTCTGTGTCCGATTTTAGTTCCATGAGATTCATGCCCAAACACCGCTGCCTGCGTTCGCGGGAACAAGCTGGCCGCCACCTCGTGGTCATTCATACGAAATCTGTACACCCAGACAAACACTTAGAACACTGCGGTGGAAATTGCTGCAAAGTATCAGTTGGGGCAAAGTATCAGTTGGGCTTAACAAGCTCCTGGGTGGTGTCTGGTTCATGCGGCTATTCCGTTCCCGAACCATATAATCCCAATTGCACAAACAGAGCCTTTTTAAAGTATATTAGCCAAAGTCTATTGCAGGGGCCATAGTCCTGAGGCAGGAGGCTGGCAAGCAGGCTCCTCCAGGAGCCTGAGGCGAGGTTCTGTTCGCCACAATAACAATTATAGCGGGCTGTAGTGGTAATAGTGTTTGGAGTAACCCTTTAAGTACCCTTCTATGTAAATCTCAAAATTCCATTGTTTCAGCCTTATTAGTAGAAATACTTATAACAAGAATAAATGTTGCCCATGTATTCTGTGACTGAAATCCTATATTAACATAATTGATTCAGGAGAATTCCCCTGGCAAACGTATTGGGCACCTGAACACAATTTTATAACATGACAGGAGGCTTCATATTTGCTTAAGTCTCTCTCTCTTAACTAGAACTCCACAGCAGCACATTAAGATAGAGAGAAAAACAACCAATCAGAAAACAGTAAGGAATCCATAAAAGGCCCCTCCCAACCAACTACTTCCTCTTTCTTTGCTTCTCCGCAGTCAGTACAGGTCAGAGAACCACTGCCTCCTGTTTTATATGGGTGGTTGTGGGATATACTTTTTACTTGTATTTGATTTTATGATTAGATTTTATGGTTACATTTTATGATTTGATTTTAGGATTTGATTTTATGATGTGAGGTCATGTATTGTGCCTTATGCAGGTGTCTTCTTCTTGCCTGCTCTGTCTACCTCCCCCCATTCTGTGGGGTCTGTAAGGGTGCCTTCCTCCACCTTTCTCCCTCTGCTTTCCCTATGCTCCCTTGCTGTCATTCTACTTTTGTCTTTCTTTCTGTTTCACTAGCGGTCGGCGGGGAGCGGTTCCCGTTCTGTTCCGACCGCCGGGACTGCGGAGAAAGACTCCTGCAGTCCCACGTGGGTATCTCGCACGGTGCGCAGGAACTGCCTGTCTCTCTCCAACGCGACCGCGAGTGGCGTGGGAGGGATGATCGGCCACGTGGGAGCGACGGCTTGGCCTCCCTACACCGAAGGTCCCCTCTGACCGGGCCCCGGCGGGGAGGCAGATTACAGTTACACTAGATCTATTGTTCTGGCTACCTACTTTCCAGAAACGGTTATTTACTTTTTGATTTTCTTATTAGCACCCCGCTTTTTGTTTACTCACTGTTCATTGGTGACTTTCCATAGCTTGCTTTATGCTATGGGTTGCCTGTTATACACAGATGCTGCAAGGGGTTGCTTTTTGTGTCCCACACTGTCTTGGGTTAACTACAGCTACAGAAGAGTGTTTATTACAGTTCACAGAAGAGTGTTATTTACGGTCACACTGCAGAGTGTTAGGCACAATTTATCTGTATAGTGGCATCTACAGTTACGCAGAAGAATGCTGTGTGCAGTTACACAGAAGATTGTTGGGTACAGTTACACAGGAGAGTGTTGGGTACAGTTACACAGGAGAGTGTTGGGTACAGTTACACAGGAGAGTGTTGGGTACAGTTACACAGGAGAGTGTTGGGTACAGTTACACAGGAGAGTGTTGGGTACAGTTACACAGGAGAGTGTTGGGTACAGTTACACAGGAGAGTGTTGGGTACAGTTACACAGGAGAGTGTTGGGTACAGTTACACAGGAGGGTGTTGGGTACAGTTACACAGGAGGGTGTTGGGTACAGTTACACAGGAGGGTGTTGGGTACAGTTACACAGGAGGGTGTTGGGTACAGTTACACAGGAGGGTGTTAGGTGCTACTAATCTGAAGAAGTGTTATGTACATTTAATCGGAAGAATGGAATGGACAATTTATCACCTGTGCATCACTGAAGGGTCTGATTTGTCTGTGCCCCAGGCTTTGTCTGTGCCCCATTGATTGGCCTGCTTTGTCTGTGCCCCATTGATCTGGTCTGTGCCAGAATGTCTGCATGCCAAGCCTACTGCCACATTCTCACGCTTGTGCATTGCATGCGCTGCCCAACTTGCCTCACTATATGGGGTGCTGCCCCGATTTTCCTACCGGTGACACTTGTCCTCTATACTCCTAGAGCTCACTTTGCCTGGGACTGCTGCACAGGAGAACCCTTATCTGGGAAAAGAGGCAGGCAATGACTACTATGGCGGTGACCGCCTCCATGGATTTAGGCTTTGGCCAGGGTCCTCCCTAAAGCCCCTCAGGAGTGAAACGCTAGAGGGCCCACCTTTTAAATGGCAGGCGACTTGATTGAGTCAGACTCTCCTAGATGAGAGCAGGCAAGTGCGCATAAGCGCTATTGGAGGGGTGAAGGCCCTGTACCAGGCTCCCGGAAAGATGAGACTTCGGAGAAGCGTCGAGCCCCGATATGATCTGCCTTGACGGCCAGACGACCTTGTGGTGCAGGGGTGTGAGTTCCCGTAACCACCATGGCCGCCCTAGCTGAATGGTGGGCAGACCGGTTCCCCTCGTAGGGAGAGGACGATGGGGGTGTGGACTATGTTGATGTCCCCAAGTGGCACCGTGGGACGGAGAACAAAGCCCCACTACAGGGGCTCCGACAACCGTGGAAGAAGAGGTCGTCTTGTAGGTCACCTTAAACAAACCCCTGTTCGACCCTCGACCCATTGCTCCCCTGGTTTCTTTGGGGAGCACCTAGCACCATCGGTGCATTTCTGAGGCCGTAGACCGCTGGCTTGAGAAGCCTGCAGGATACTTGGAGCGGTATACCCAGCCGGGCTCCCGAATAAGGTAGCCTAGTACCCAGACTTAGACCCCGATGGGGCGCTGCGGCTTTCCTGGTTAAAGCATCTGTCTAGTATACAGGAGATCCTGAGTGCGGCCTGCTGCAGTGCCTATACTGTACTTTTAAGTCCGCACTGGCAAGCCGATTGTTCTCCTCTACACAAGTGATTTGTGCTAGCAGGACATACAAGGAAGTATATTAGGTGTCTAGTTTTTATATGAATAAACTTTACGGAGACATATCTAAAGCTCCAACCCATACCTGTTCTATGGGATTGGATCCTTGGCCCTGGAATTTCACATTTGCCTCCCCCTTCTGACATACCAGACGGGACCCCGAATCTGGGGATTGCAGGCGACCCTATTTTGATCACAGTTTGGACCGCTGGAGGTGCTTGGGATTAAGGGATCTGAGCCCTTTGGAGCCCCCGCACGAGACTACACTTGAACGTATATACATTAGTTACTTTGAATTAGATGCGGTCCTCAGGGAACTTCTAAGGACCATGTGGTCAATTCCTGGTAAGGCGGGCTCAATTTTCTCCCTGGCGAGATAAGTATCTGGGGCATCATTTATTTGGATGATAATACAGCCTGGCTGGCAGGTTTGGATGAATTTAGGACATTCGGGAATACCAGAACTATCTGACGAAATCCTTCTCGTTTTTCCACGAGGACGTTTCGCTGTTCGGTCTACCCGGACGGGCTTGCTGGACCCTCTGTGACGAAAGGCCAGGTGCTCTAGGAGTAGAGTCCTGGAGGACGGATTGGACGCAAGGGGGTACCTCCTACGCCTTCCTCTACCCGAGTTCTCGTATGTTTGGAATAGTTTTCCGGGAGGACCCGGCGTCAAGACTTTGGTCCACGGAGGAGGACCCATCAGGCCCGACCAGTTTCAGCTGGCGTACAGACCCGTTTGCTCAGTAATGGACGCTTTCCTCCAGGGGTGTTCGACACATACACACTGACGAGTCTCCTCAGTTTGTTTGGTTCCAGGACCTTACTACAGGTGTCTCGGTCTGCTGGTACGTTGGTTTTATGGCCTCTGCTTCGGCCGAGTCGAAACTAGTGTCCTGGATTCCCTGGGACCTGTCCTATTTGATCTCAGGGACAGTAAGACATTTGTCTGCATGGCGACCCTGACGTAGTTGGGTCTGGTACGGATTACCAGAAATTTTGCAAACACTGTTACAGGGTTCGAGAATTGTTTCGTCACTTTATTGACCGGGGACTGTCGTATCATCTAGATTAGGTAGCGCGTACGACTGTTTTCGGCGGGCCTCGCTCTGCTTAGTATCCCCCTTCGAGCTAGACGTGCGGGTTCATAGGGGTGTGAGTTCTTTACGATTCCCGAGGACGGGTATTCATCTCCCCAAGGGCTACACGCGTTTTTTGTCATGCTTCAATTGCCGGTTTTCATCCGTTTTTTGTCTATTCTCCGACTCTAGATTTGTTTCCTTTATTATACCTTGTTTTTCTTTCAGATGGGTTCGGATGTTCGGGCCTTAGTAGTCTATCGGCTCTAGTTGGACCCGAGGGTTATATTCTTATCTTGGTTGCGCGTCCCTCTTTTATGCTGCGTTCCACGCCACCATTTGTTTAGATGGTTCTTTTCCTTTTTTCGCCCTTCATGTACCGCTTGGTTGTTGTTGGCATTGGCGGGGCGTGTAGGTCTTTCGGTTCATTTCAGTCTGTAACACGGCAACTTCAGGCGCCGTCCTGGCGGTTACAAGGAGCTATCTTCGCATAGTTTAGGTTGGTACGGCGGATCGTGTTTCTTTGGGCTTTGCTGTCTGAGCGTTAAAACAGCAAATATGAAGCCTCCTGTCATGTAATAAAATTGTAGATTATACTAGCTTTACTGTAACTATAATCTTAATTTTATTAATGACAGGAGGCGAGTATTTCCCTCCCAGTTTCTCCCTCCCCTTGTTTGTGTGTTGGTTTGATTGACCTTTTGTTTATTCACCTGTTCTCCTGGGCTAGGTTGGTTATCTGGGGGAGTTGGGGTTTATCTGGGATATGGTACAGCCAGTATTTTATGATGGGGATTCATGTTTTTTTCTCAGTACCTGGGATATTATACTGTCAGTATTTGACAATGGGGATTCATGTTTTCTCAGTAGATTTCATTCGCTAATCAGTGTTTTCGACTCTGTTTTATCTCATTTCAGTTTAATGGTTCGGGTACAGTTCTTAGATCTACAGGATAAAGGTCAAGGCTTCATCCACTGGTTCCACATTTTCAATTTTGGATGGCATTCATCGTTATGTTGTTTCTTCTGTTATTGTATTGGTGGTGTATTGTTCATGTACTTTATTTGTCGTAGCGTGAAAGAGGACAGTTGGTTGGGAGGAGCCTTTTATGGATTCCTGACTATTTTGTCTTTGGTGTTTTTCTCTCTATGTTAATGTGCTGCTGTGGAGTTCTAGTAAAGAGAGACTTAAGCAAATATTCGCCTCCTGTCATTAATAAAATTAAGATTATAGTTGCACTAAAGCTAGCATAATCTACAATTTCACTCCAGCCTCTTTGCCTTGGCTTCCCTTGTCGCTTTCAAAAGGCCCCAGAAGGTCTAGGGAACCATCTCAATGTCACTTCACATTTCTGTCTTGGGTGAACTTTACTTCCTCTTTTTATAGATTTCTGATGTAGAATGTATTAGGCCCACACTGCTTACTCCATGTGTCTGACGGCACCTGCCAATATTGACACACCATAAACTTATCGCATGCCACTTGCAGGTCATTTCTCCAGGTTTATTTTGGAATAATTCTCACGAATCCTCCCATATTGTGTGTTACAGGGAGATTTTACTCGTACCGGTGAAAGGAAGCTGGCCGGCGTGATGAAGGACGGAGTGAACTCTGCAAACCGATATTATCTGAACCGATTTAAAGATGCGTACCGCCAAGCAGTGATAGGTAGAAAGGCAACATTCCGATTCCCTTATTCTATAATCTTTCTGTCTGTACATGGAATATGTCTGCCTTTCTCCAGCGTAAAACAGACCCATTTTACTGCAGTTTTCTCATAGCTGGGTCTACTCTGTCAGTCTGTCTCTGATATTGCGGGGACTACTATGTAGTCTGACATATTCTGCTTCTTCTGGAAGGAAAAAAAACATGAAAACTGCTTACCTGTCACAATAAACCCATTTGTCACCAAAAAGAAAATTTTAACTGGAAAAATCTAATTATACTTTCTGTTCACTTTTTAGTAAATAACCCTGTAAAATGAAATGGAAGAAATTAATATTTTTGAGAAAATAAGGGAATAAATAGGAAAAGTGACTTTTTATACACAGCCAATGTATTTTTTTTTTTTTTTTTTTTACTTAATGTTATATTAAATGTGTCAGTAGTTGGACAGGTTCATTGTGACTAAACATATAAATTTACATTTCAGCTGTCAGTGTAAGCTAGCACAGACCGTAGGGCTGTGTGTATGAAACCGCCATTCAAACGTTAGACCTCTACTGGCTCGATCAATATGGTATGTGGCGTTCAGCCACGTTTGACTGGTATAAGACTGCTATTTAGTAGGAGCTGAAAAGTACCTTTGGTATCTGGTCAGGGCTTGATTAGTGCCAAAACGAAACAATACAAAACAGAACAAATGGCTCAAAACTGGTTGAAGACAACCACATGGGCAAGATGACAGACATTCTGAATGGTTATCTGTATATGCCTAACAGGGGAATTATTGCAGATAATGTGGGGCCAGCCTCTGCCCTCCATTATTGCTGAGTTTGTGGGGTGTCAGGTTGTCTTGTGTCCATCTTCTGCTGGGGGTGTTTTCCCGGTGCGGTGAGAGCGCGATAAAGTTTGTCTAGGGATCGTGTCCATGAGAGATGGGGGGTGAGACAACAACTAAAAACCTAAATGCAACTTTTCATTAGTCCTGCCTGGGGGATTGTTGTAATTCGGGTAACTGTCCTCTCAAGTGTCCGCTCGGTGCTGGTTTACCCGTTGCTCCTTGTAAGCCGTGGAGGACGGGACGTTGACGTTAGTGGGTTGAAACGAACTGACGTTTGCTACATCCCAGGTGTGATTGGCCTTTGGCCTCTGGTCGGTTGTAGCTTGTTCCTGTTGTGGTGGTAGGCCCAGCGCTGCCAATACTGAGTCTATTTCCGATGGGTCAGTGACCTGTGTTGTGGCGCCCTTATGTGTGATGATCAGGCTTCTGGGGAATGCCCAGTGGTATGGGATGGAGGTGTGGTGGAGAGCGGCTGTCAGGGGTTTGAGGAGGCTCCTCCACAGCAGTGTAGGCCTAGATAGGTCTTGAAAGAATGACAGGCTGGCTGTCTCAAAGAGGTGGGATGCCTTCCCCCTCACCGCTGCCATGAGGGTTGCTTGGCCTGTCCCGTTTGAAATTGGAGGATGATATCTCTCAGGGTGTTCGCTGGGGCTCTAGCAGCCCTCGGGATTCGGTAGATCCCGTCTGTTAGAACCGTCTTCATCTGCTGAGGCGTGAGTAGGGAGGTAGCCAATGTATTTTTAAAGGCTCATTTATTTGACCCAGTCAGAATTGAACTGGGATTCAAATCACAGTCAGGAAACCGAGATTTTAGTTGTGATCGTACAGTAATAGCTACCTCCTTTTTGCTGCTAAATGCAGCCGTCCTGATACAAAAAAAACAGACATTGCTGTTATTTCCAGATACAATCACATGGCCCTAATTGTGCCGTGTTGTAGAATTTGTGTTTGTTTAAAAATTGCTACATGTTTACGCTGTGAGAAAGGAAGTGTCTATTTCCGTAATGATCTGGTTACCTGTATACACTCTAATTTTACTGACCATCATGTTTCAGATTTGATGCAGGGAATTCCCGTGACAGAAGATCTATACTCCATCTTCACCAAAGAGAAGGAACACGAAGCCCTTCACCGACAGAGCCAGAGGAACCACCAGGAGCTGATCAGTCAGCTGCTCCAGAACTATATGGAGATGCTGCTCCCAGACACAGAGAAATTCCATGGAGGATGGGCCCTGATAGACTGTGACCCCAGGTCTGTAACCGAGGGGCGTTAGGGCAAGGTACCCAATATGTCTCTGCTGATGACTATGGACTCGGGGCCCTGATAGACTGTGACCCCAGGTCTGTAACTGAGGGGAGTTAGGTCACGGGTACCCAACATATCTCTGCTGATGGCTATGGACTCGAGGCCCTGATAGACTGTGACCCCAGGTCTGTAACTGAGGGGAGTTAGGCCACGGGTACCCAACATATCTCTGATGATGGCTATGGACTCGGGGCCCTGATAGACTGTGACCCCAGATTTGTAACCGAGGGGAGTTAGGCCACGGGTACTCAACATATCTCTGCTGATGGCTTTGGACTCGGGGCCCTGATAGACTGTGACCCCAGGTCTGTAACTGAGGGGAGTTAGGCCACGGGTACCCAACATATCTCTGCTGATGGCTATGGACTCGGGGCCCTGATAGACTGTGACCCCAGGTCTGTAACCGAGGGACGTTAGGGCAAGGTACCCAATATGTCTCTGTTGATGGCTATGGACTTGGGTCCCTGATAGACTGTGACCCCAGGTCTGTAACTGAGGGGAGTTAGGCCACGGGTACCCAACATATCTCTGCTGATGGCTATGGACTCGGGGCCCTGATAGATTGTGACCCCAGGTCTGTAACTGAGGGGAGTTAGGCCACAGGTACACAACATATCTCTGCTGATAGAAAAATGGAAATAGGTACCAGCGCTAATATAAAGGAGGTATAAAAATATATGGTATAAAATATATATACCAGCTGCTAAACACTGAATAGAAGTGACTTTCCCATAAGACACAAAGTATACAATAGACAAAAAGATAGATAGTGTAGCGCTTATATGTAACAATTTAAATAGTAGTTACCTTAAAAATAGTAATCTACATCCAGATACTATCAATATAGTGTAGTGGACAAGATGGAATCAAACTCTGAAATGGTACAAAGGAGATACCCACATAGTGTAAAACCTTTTAACAATATAAATAATAAAAATTATTTTAGGAACACTCACAAACATAGAGCTAAAAACCTAGCTCTGGTGTAGTTGGCTTGGGGTCCGTTACGGCGACCCACCCCTATGGAGAGATCTGTGTGTGGTCCTAAGGAAGTTGGAAAAAAACACAATAGGGTAGCACAGTTTGATGTTAAAATAAGAAGAATGGTAAGTAAGAGATGTACTTACCAACCTAGAGCCCCTGTGGCTCTGCAGTCGTGCGATGTGTAGTAAGGGACTACACTCCCTCAAATATAAGATGATGCCGGCCACCAGGATTAAAAGTAGAATACTTTATTGAATACACTAAAATATAGTAAAACAATAAAAAAGGAACAATGTCCGTATAAAAATCCCAGCCGTAACGGACCCGAAGCCAACTACACCAGAGCTAGGTTTTTAGCTCTATGTTTGTGAGTGTTCCTAAAATTATTTTTATTATTTATATTGTTAAAAGGTTTTACACTATGTGGGTATCTCCTTTGTACCATTTCAGAGTTTGATTCCATCTGGTCCACTACACTATATTGATAGTATCTGGATGTAGATTACTATTTTTAAGGTAACTACTATTTAAATTGTTACATATAAGCGCTACACTATCTATCTTTTTGCCTATTGTATATCTCTGCTGATGGCTATGGACTCGGGGCTCTGATAGCCTGTGACCTAAGGTCTGTAACTGAGGGGAGTTTTGGCAAGGTACCCAACATGTCTCTGCTGATGGCTAAGGACTCGAGGCCCTGATAGACTGTGACAAATGATTTGTAACCGAGGGGAGTTAGGGCAAAGTACCCAATATGTCTCTGCTGATGACTATGGACTCGGGGCCCTGATAGACTGTGACCCCAGGTCTGTAACTGAGGGGAGTTTTGGCAAGGTACCCAACATGTCTTTGCTGATGGCTAAGGACTCGAGGCCCTGATAGACTGTGACAAATGATTTGTAACCGAGGGGAGTTAGGGCAAAGTACCCAATATGTCTCTGCTGATGACTATGGACTCGGGGCCCTGATAGACTGTGACCCCAGGTCTGTAACTGAGGGGAGTTTTGGCAAGGTACCCAACATGTCTTTGCTGATGGCTAAGGACTCGAGGCCCTGATAGACTGTGACAAATGATTTGTAACCGAGGGGAGTTAGGGCAAAGTACCCAATATGTCTCTGCTGATGACTATGGACTCGGGCCCTGATAGACTGTGACCCCAGGTCTGTAACTGAGGGGAGTTTTGGCAAGGTACCCAACATGTCTCTGCTGATGGCTAAGGACTCGGGGCCCTGATAGACTGTGACAAATGATTTGTAACCGAGGGGAGTTAGGGCAAAGTACCCAATATGTCTCTGTTAATGGCTAAGGACTCGGGGCTCTGATAGACTGTGACCCCAGGTCTGTAACTGAGGGGAGTTTTGGCAAGGTACCCAACATGTCTCTGCTGATGGCTAAGGACTCGGGGCCCTGATAGACTGTGACAAATGATTTGTAACTGAGGGGAGTTAGGGCAAAGTACCCAATATGTCTCTGCTGATGACTATGGACTCGGGGCCCTGATAGACTGTGACCCCAGGTCTGTAACTGAGGGGAGTTTTGGCAAGGTACCCAACATGTCTCTGCTGATGGCTAAGGACTCGGGCCCTGATAGACTGTAACCCCAGGTCTGTAACTGAGGGGAGTTGGGGCAAGGTACCCAATATGTCTCTGCTGATGGCTATGGACCCAGGGCGCTGCTGAGGACTGAATGTTGGAATTGATTGGACAATGCATGCCTGTTACACAAAATCAATATTAGTCACCATTTAGAAAGATTTTTTTTTTTTTTTAAATAAAACTTTTCATCTTTATTTTCACCTGCAATGAAGCAGTATAAAATATCGACCTGGCACGCTGAGGTTTGAAACTGAGGGTTTAGTAAATAGTTTATTTTAAATTGTGATGATGGTTAGATAATGACTAGAGTCCCTCTATCTCCCCAGCCTTATCGATGCCACTCACAAGGATGTCGATGTCCTACTGCTGCTTTCCAACTGTGCCTATTATGTTGCCTAGTAAGTGAAATTCTCTTCTCCTAAATTTGTTTTTAACAAGCCAGTATGATGGACCTCTTTCACTTCACTAACCTGTTTGCACCAGTGGCAAGCAATGCTTCCGCCCCCCAACTCCATGTTTCTCACCGTTATTCCAGAGCCCTGAGATCAGTTACACTATTTACATCAAGTTCTACACCAACCTAAAGCTTATTTCACTGTATTTTAGTTTACAGTTAAGGATAAATGTTAAACAATTGATGATGCCGTCCCTTTTTAATGGGTATACAGTACAGATATGTAGTTCAGTGTTTTAAAACAGCAGAATGTTTATACTAAGACATCACAATTTCCACCCTCCATTAGCCATTGGAGACTTCCACTAGCCACTGGAAACGTTAACCTTGGCAAGTAGGAATTTAGGAAAGAAATATGGTGATTGCGCACACAGTAGAAGATATTTTCAATTAAGTAGATAATCCCTAGATTCTGTAAATATAAAAAAAACATCATAGGGTAATATATCTTAACACAGATACCAGTAAAAAATACTTTATAACTCACAATATTTAGAGCCTTTCTGAGTTGGCTCTAAACTGTAGTAGCAAGTACATCAATCAATAAGGATTCAGGTCCCTCAGAAAGTGTCAACAGCCTACTGTATTGGAAATCAGGAACCAGGTCACCGAAGCAAATAAAAGTATGTATATTTATTTCAACAGTTATAAAATAAGGTAGAAAAAAAGCGTTTCGACCCAGTGCAATGGGTCTTCCTCAGGTGCATATCTTGTAGCATATACAACAACATTCATATATATGGCATAAATGTCTAATACCAATAAATTACAAACATTAACAGCTGTGTGTTGATAGTCCGTCCCATTCACCATATAAGGAGTGTTTCCGGCTGTAATTTCGGTGTATTCGCCTCTACCAAGATGTCCGCCGTGTGGTTACTTCCTATGGAGGTACCTCCGACCTTCCCAAGATGGCCGCGCGTTCATACCGTCTCGCGGCTAATCACTGGATATTACCACTTCTGGTTTCGTCCGGCTCCGATCACGTGATTTCGGGAGGCGTGGACGTACTAGCTTGTCAATCATTAATTCATACTATGATATCAGAACAGTCTCATAGTCCCATATAGGGACGAAGTCCATATAAAGACCTTGTGAGAAAAAGGAAAAAAGGACATAAGGGAAATAAAGGAAGGAAAAATACAAAATGGTAACAATACACATCAAGCAAGAAATATACACCTAACCAGCATAACAAATATAAAATCAATATATAAATATAGGGATTTCAAATTGATAATGTACAGAATATAAGAGCAAGATAATTTTCTTAAAAAAAAAAAAAATCTTTTTTTTTTTTTACAAAATTTTAACTATTTCCAAATCTATATTTAACCCCCTGGGACGTAGGGTTTACAGTTGAAATATCCAGTTGGATTCTTTTTTACTCAAATTAGGAGCACTATCGCCACCTCTCCAACGCGTTTGTATTTGTTGAATAGCTGTAAATTCGAATTCTCTTGGATTAGAATTATGTATTTCTAAAAAATGGTTTGATACACTGTAGTTAATAAAACCAATATTAATATTTCTTGGTTTTAGTGGTCCCGAGGTTTTACCTGTATATTGTAAACCACATGTTCACTGTAATAAATAAATGACATTGCTAGACTCCCACGTGATAAGAGGTAATATTAAATCTTTCTGTTTTACAGTTACAGGCATAAGGACCACAATGATGGAAGCCTTTTTGGGTTTTTAACCATTTAGTTAGAAAATTAGTATTTTTCTCTTTTTTTTTTTTTTTTACATAATTTGAGGTTAAAATTTGCTTAAAATGTTTTGCCCCCCTAAAAATCTATTTAGGCTTAGCTCCTATAAAATCGAACATTTCATGTTCTTGTTGTAAAATGTGCCAGTTTTTATTTACAATTCTTTTTATTGCACCAATATTGCTGCAATAATTAAAATTGAGTGGGATTTGTTTACCCTGGTTACTCTGTTCCTTCTTTTTATAATTAAATAACTGGGGTCTATCCAGATCTTTAATGCTATCAATATGTGTTTGGAGATTATCTTCACCATACCCCTTTTCTAGGAATTGTTTCTTTAAAAAAGATGACTGTGAGATAAAATCTGCTTGGTCCGTACAATTTCTTCACATTCGCAAAAATTGACCAAGGGTCATGGTGGCAGCTACTAGTTTCAATAAAGCTGTTTACAAAAAGTACGGGTTTTAAGTTGTTGTTCAGAAACATAAATATTAAGATCTAAGAAATCAATAGTGGTCGAGCTAACATTTTTAGTTAAAATCCGCCTCAGATCCCTTCCAGATAATAAAAATATCATCTATGTATCGCCTGTATAGGGCCAGGTTTGCACTCCAGTTATGTCCCTCGTATATAAATAATCGTTCCCAATTTGACATAAAAAGATTGGCATAACTGGGGGCAAAAGTAGGAATTTACCCCTGATTAGTATGCCTTGGGCCTTGCTGGCTTGCAGCTACAAATCACTTTTAAGGGCTGGCTGGAAATGTAGGACTGACATGCCAAGCCCAGTCTATATAATTATTATTATTATAACTTTTTATATTATTTTAATTACATACTTTATCTTCTCTCCTCCCCCAGTTATGATGATGAGGTCGATAAAGTGAATCAGTATCAGCGATTGAGCTTGGACGACTTGGAGAAGATTGAAATTGGTTAGTAACTGGCATTCTGTGTGGTTATGGGTATATAGAGACGGCACTGGTTATCGGTATGGCGATGCTGGTTATAGTGATTTAGAGACGGCAACAGTTATCGGTATGGTTATGGTTATTTTTGTGATATAGAGAATGCACCGGTTATCTTTATGGTTATGGTAATTTAGAGACGGCACCGGTTATTGGTATGCTGGTTATGGTGATTTAGAGGTGGAACCAATTATCGGTATGGTTATAGTGATTTAGAGACGGCACCGGTTATCGGTTTGGGTATGGTGGTTATAGTAATTTTGAGACTGCACCGGTTATCGGTATGGTGATGATGATTTAGAGACTGCACCAGTTAATCTTTATGGTTATTGTAATTTAGAGGCGGCACAGGTTATCGGTATGGTTATAGTGGTTTAGAGATGGCACCGGTTATCGGTATGGTGATTTAGAGAGAGCACCGGTTATGGTGGTTATGGTAATTTAGAGACAACACCGATTATCGTTATGGTTATTTTGACTATAGTGATTTCGAGACGGCACTAGTTGTCAGTATGGTTATGGTAATATAGAGATGGCACCGGTTATCAGTATGGTTTTAGTGATTTAGAGACGGCACCGGTTATCGATATGGTTATAGTAATTTAGAGACTGCACCGGTTATCGATATGGTTATAGTGATTTAGAGACGGCACCGGTTATCGATATGGTTATAGTGATTTAGAGATGGCACCGGTTATCGATATGGTTATAGTGATTTATAAATTAAGTCTGTAATCTGTGTGTTCACTGTGATTTAGAGCAGGCTTTCGTTAAGAGAGCTGGTTATTTGAAGAGTTATGACAATTGCGGGAGGGTGCCGGCTCTCTCTGTATGATCTGTTACTTATTCAGTCTGGTAGTTATTGCATTAACAGGATTTTATCCCCAAATTCTAGGCTTTATAATCTCTTTAATTTGCCATAATATGCTGTTGGCATCAAACCATTTACCTATTCTTATTGTATAAGCAGTGGTCCGTAGATCTGAGTGATTCTCCTAGACACCCTTAATAACCGGTATTAATTCATTTTGTTCTCATTTTGCTCAGGACCTGAACCAACATTTTTCGGAAAGCCTAAATTCTCTTGCATGAGGTTGCACTACAAATACAAAGAGAATCCTGGCTACTTCCATACACTGAGAGCGGTGACACGCAGCCTGGAGGAAGATGGGAAAGGTAAATGTTCAAGATATTTCTGCTTAGAAAGAGTGAACAGGTCCGTACTGCATGCAGAATTTTACTGGAAGGACTGGTTAGTTTGTTTAGTTGTCTCTGACATATTCTTAAAATAAAGTCTACGGTATGAGGGCTAAAATTGATTTGTAATTTTATTTCCCCAGCATAATTCTCTCTTTGAGGAACTTCCCCTTTCTTTGTTGGAGGATTGATGGCGGAATGGGCTGTTTAGAGGGGGATTGAGGGGATGATGTTAGGAATGAGCTGAATATGTGGTGCTATAAATGGGAAGATAGTAGATGTAAAATGGGGAAAGTAGATGTAAAGATGACATACTGCAAGAATCCTCCTGGAAGATCAGAATTTGATAATGATTTTTAGAGGGACGCTCAAAGCTGCAGGTCAGTGCAGAGGTTGTGTCGTGTTGTGTAGAATGCCCCGACACCTTCCTCTGGTTGATCACCAAACTGTTTAGAAGCAGTTCAACATAAACCGGCCTCTTCTCTGTGAGCAGGTACCATGCAATGTCGACTGTGTTGATAATGTAGAATCAATGTCTGTTCCGTCCAGTCTGGACCACGGTGATTGATTGAGATTACTGTCTGCGTGTTTTAATGTGACCCTGTGGAAAAAATAAAATAAAGTTAAATCCCTCCCCTGCAAGTTGATCACTGACTACAGTGATCAGTTGGCAGGGACTACATTTTACAGTAATCTGATGTTTTATTTATTTTTAACGCCGGAGGGTTTTTTTTTTTCTCTCAGGGGTTAAATGTATTTTATTAAATAATTTTAAATATTTTAAAATGCCATATTTTGCTAGCTGGGGTGGGTTGAAGTTATGGGAAATTGGAGAATTTACTGTTAGTGCTGCTTACTGCTAGTTAGGGGTTAACGGTTAAAAAAAAAAAAGTTTTTATAACATTTTTAAGTGTAAGAAACGTTTTTAATAAGTAAAAAAATGTAAGTGAAAAAAAAGTTTAAAAACAAGTTTTAAAAAGTGACAAGATACATTAAAAAAAATGCTAATTACCACAACACCTGGAACAAACTAGCGAAAAAATTATCCCATGTTAAGGATCAAAATATGCCTTTTACATAACCCCAGGGTGTATTCTTTAATAAATAGTATGTGTTTGTGGGAAAGTTTGAATAACCAACCAGCCAAACTACTTCGAAATGAAACATGGACACAGCGTAAAACTTCAAAGTTTAAAAAAAAAAAATGGAATGACTGTGTCTCAAATGTGCTCCTTCAATATCCACATATACCTGGTAAGGGAACATACGGGGGTATTGCTGTACTCAGCCGACATAGCTGAGCAACATATGAAGTATTATACAGTCGTAGCACACATACAGTGAGCAAAATATGCTGCGCAAACTCACTTTGTGTGTCAAAAAGGCAGAAAAAACACTCATTACCACTACACTTGATACAAGCTGGCGGAAAAATTATCCCACGCTAAGGTTCAAAATATACCTTTTGAAATACCCTGGGATGTCTTCTTTAAGAAATGGTATGTCTTTATGGTGTAGTTGGAATATGTAGCCTACAAAAGTGCTCCAAATTGGGACACGGATGCATCAAAACCCTCCATGAAAATCCACACTTAACCTGAACTTGTCACGTCTTTTTTACAGCACTGTAACTTCACAAAATAGTGCCTAGGTCAGGGATGGGCAATCTTCAGCGCTCCAAATGTTGTGGACTACATCCCCCATAATGCTCTTACATAATGCTGGCAAAGCATCATTGGAGGTGTAGTCCAAAACATCTGCAGTGCTGAAGGTTGCCTATGTCTGGTCTAAGTCATACATTGGGCATGTTGTTTTCCTCAAAAAAAGTAACTGAACGTAATTTGGGGGATTTAATGACAGTGGTACATATCAGGTGTAAGAAATACTCAGCAAAAATGCAACATATATGTAAAAATTCAATTTTTTTCCCCCCTCACCACAAACATTGACTTAAAATGGTGACAAGTTAAGGCACAATATACGCCATATAAGATACCGTGGGGTGTCTGCTTTATCAAATGAAAGCCCTTTGTGGGGTTATTTGAACAGTCACACTGCTATAATACCCTAAAATGAGACATAGGCTGGTCAAATCCATCTACGAAAATTCTAACTGTAGAAACTGAAATAGCCTGGTCTCTTACATGGCATTGTAGCTTCACAGAATAGTGCCAAAGGCATACAATGGGGGTATCGTTATACTCAGCAGATGTAGCTGAACACAATATGGGGTTCTGTGCAGGAATAGCACACTCCAGCTTTACGAAATACACATTACAAAAACCTTGTTATATGTGTATATGCCAAAATAGACCTGTCAAACTAACCTTCGGTAAATAGCCTGTGATGTCTACTTTATATAAATATATACTTTTTTTTGTGGCAATTTTGTTTTCTGTGATGGCTACTAAACCTACAAGACAAACATACCAACTTCTAAAATTGTTTCACAGAAAAAATAATAATTGTAGTCCTTGTATTTTGTGACCTGTAACTTTCAAAATAAGCTGAAATCCTGTACATATAAATCAAGAGACATAAATGAATTTATTTTGAATTACTTTTTCTAAGCTGGACATACTATGCACACGCTATTATTGCCAAAACTGTGAAAAAAACAGTTTTTTTCCAATTTAAAAAAAATAATAATTTAATGATAATTTATCTATATGACATCAAATTAAAGCCCTTTTCCCCTCTAAAAACGGTATATAATATGTGTTGGTGATGCAAATTGCATTTGAACACAAACTATAAAAAATGCAAAAATAGCTTGTGTCCTTAAGGGTAAGTCCAGTTTTTCAAGCTTTGTCCTTAAGGGGTTAAAGTGCCAGAGTGCTGTGTTTTTATGACTGGAGGATTTCAAACAAGGCAGTGAGAGTGTTTGAAAATCTTTACATGATACTCTGTGTCCCCGATGCGTCCTCCGCTAGGTCTGCATTTTGGATCTGCTCTGGGATGTGGGGAATGTTTGAGTGGACTCTGTTTTTACATGACCGTTCTGTCCTCTGCAAATGGTGTTCGAAACAGTCTGAAGGTGTTTCATGCTGACATTTCCTGTTTTACAGATACACTGCTCTGCATAGCGGAGATGCTACGCATTACTAAACAGGCCAGTGGGTCAGACGTGCCCATCATCGAGAAGAAGCTGGAAAGGTGAGAACGCTCTTTCGGTTCTGCACGAACTGTCTAATGAAGAGGATGTGAAGAACAAAGAGTTTAATTAAGACCTTTGCTTCTGGCTTATTTAAACCTAGAATAATGCACAGTGTTTCTGCGAAGCCTGGAACGCTTTACTTGGTAATTTTGGACCTTCCTTTGTTTAAGCAGCATAGGGGGTATCTTGTTACCCAGCAGTGTTACCTGCTGTCTTCCTAGTCTTATTAGCATCACAAGCCCTAATTGTATCCAGTGGTAAACAAGCAATACTTAAGTACTCAGAGGGGGCACTGCCTTGCCCAGCTCTACATGCAGTGAGCCTTCATCCATATTACAGGAGCCCTCCTGTAAGAGTTTAATAAATGCTACAATACATTTTTTACAGTATATAATAAATAGTTACATTAAACCCGTGAATGTTTGTAGCTGCAGAAAATGTATATGATCCTTTTTTTATAGCCACCTTTCCTGGCCAAACGTGGCAGCATCACTTATGGGTTAGCTCCTCACCAGTTGTCAGGACAGGATTAATTAATCAAACCATTAAGAATAGTCAATATAAGCCCCGTCCCCCTCCCCCAAACTCCCCAGTATTTTTTTCCTGTCCCAGCTGACAGGCAGGGATTTTTTGTGGATCCCACATAAAATTATATTATTTTCTGGGCTCATTAGCATGTTTAACTTGGTTCTACCAGGGGGAGTTCAGCCTCTCTCCCCCCGAATAAACCAGTAAACGGGCTGTGTTAGCAGCACTAACTGGTTTGAATCCCTCATTACCGAGACTCCACCATGGGAATAATGTCTCATAAAATACCAGTGTAAGGAGTGTGGAAAGCTATCAACTTACCTTTGGTTGGAGCCTTCTTGGTCACATTTCAGCAAGTTAGGAGCCCCTACAGGCTGGCTGTGATCTGACTTCAGGTTCCCAGAATCCAAGATGGCTGGCGCAACTTCAAATTACCTTATTTAAGCTCTTGCCAATTTCGCGCATGCGCGGTATGACGGTCATGCTAAAACCCTAATGACCATGAAGCTGAGCACTGGGAAATTGGGGTGCACCAAAATGAAAATTCTGGGCTGACACCAAAAATTCAAGATGCCCAAAGGCTGAAAACCCAAAATGATTTTTTTCCCCAAATTATTTCAAAAAATGTTTTTCCTGTAATTTTATTAATATTAGACTTTCTAATGAATTTAATTAATCTAATATGAAAAACTTCCCTTCTCTTTCAGTGGTCCCCCCTCGCTTAATGTTCCTCTTTCACCTCTCCCCTCCCTCTTTTTTAGTGTTCTTTCCTCCCCTGTCCCATAGTGTTCTTTTCTCCCCGCTCCCCTGTCCCATAGTGTTCTTTTCTCCCCGCTCCCCTGTCCCATAGTGTTCTTGTCTCCCCTCCCCTTTACCATAGTGTTCTTCCCCCCCATCCCCTGTCCCATAGTGTTTTTTACCCCAAATTTCGGTGCAGGTCCGTTTTCGGCCGAAATATTGGTGCATCCCTACTGTGAAACAATTCCTAAAATTGATGCTGCAGTGATTCGGCTGGCGAAGAAAACTTTGCTCCCTTTAGACAGCATGGCTTATTTAAAAGAGCCCATGGAGAAAAGGATGGATTCTAATCTAGTTAAACTCTATCTTGCTATTGGATTGGGATTAAATCTAGCTACTGATGTGAGTGCTGCTGCTGGAACTGTGAAAGTCTGGATTGACAATTTAGAAGAAGATAAAGCCAGAGGAGTGAGATCATTTTATAAATTCTCTGAAAGATTTTAGGCTGGTGACAGACTTTGTCAGAATCAGCCCTGGACATTACAAAATCTTTGTCCAAAAGCCTTGCCTTATCAGTGGCCTTTAGAAGAGTGCTCTGGTTCCATTATTGGGGGGTGGACTATGTCTCCAAAGCCAACATTTGTGCCTTACTCTTTCACGGGGATAGACTGTTTGGGAAAATTTAGACGATACTATAGAAAAGGCCACTGACGGTAAAAAGGCTTTTCTCCTTCAGTCCTACCGAAGACCATTTAACATGAGCAAAACAAAGAGAAGGCATTTTGTGACAGCAAGTCATATAAGCCTGGAAGGGAGTACTCTAGACCCCGACAATGAAGGTTTCAACAATCCACCTCCTCCTCCATTAGAGCATCCAGAGGAAGAGGATTCAGACAAACTGGGTTGGATCACCCAGACCGAAATAGTAGGAGGCCGTCTAAAACTGTTCTTTCCTGTCTGGGCAGAGTTCATCAAGGACAATTGGATCCTGAGTATCATCAGAGATGGTTACAGAATAGAGTCCAAAGAATTCACAAGAATTTATCAATTCCATCAATCAACAATGTCATCTGGAATAAAACTAAAGGCAATGAAGAGGTGTTTACAACAACTTACAACACAAAGAGTCATCACAGAAGTTCCTTGTCGAGAGATACAGAGTATTCTACTCAAATATATTTATGGCTCCAAAGCCCCACTTAAAAAGAATCAACACTTTCCTCAAAAGCATGTCATTCACGATGGAGTCAATTTCCTCTATAAAGCAGACAATTCACCAAGGGGATTGGTTAACATCAATAGATTTAAAAGATGCGTATTACCAAATACCAATACATCATTCTCACCAAACAATTCTGAGATTTTGTATACTGGAGAAACACTACCAGCTCCAGGGGATGCCATTTGGGTTAAGTCTAGCACCCTCTAGTCATAACAGTTCTAAGGAAGAGAGGGATACAAATCTTTTACTATTTGGATGACATCCTAATAGTTGCCCAAAAATATCACGGGCCTCTTCATCATACTGAGTAAGTTATCCGTGCTCTGCAGAGTAAACAAAGACAAGAGCAACATAGTTTCACCCAGAAACACAGTGTTCCTGGGGGCAAGAATAAATACGGAAGAATCTACAATTTCCTTGTCTCAAGACCACATTGCTCGTATAATGATCAAGATATCAGAGCTTCTCCAAAGCACAAAAGTTAAAGCCAGAACGTACATGAGTACATTAGGGTCCCTCACGTCAACAATATGTCTGGTTATATGGGCACATTGGAAGATGGGACCTGCCCAGATGAACTTCCTCAGGCAAATCGATGACATTTCCATGAATTGGAATCGGTGGATAATAAAGATCTCAAACAGCAATTGAGATGGTGGATGAAGGAGCCCAATCTGAACAAAGAATTTCCTCTGGAAGATCCTCCCTGGGAAATGGTAACGACAGATGGAAGCACATGGGGATGGGGAGCCCACTACAGGAACCTAGTCGCCCAATGGCACAATCAAATACGTCTTCTCCATTCCAACATTCAAGAAATGCGTGCAGTATACAAGGCAATGATGTAATTTGCCACCCACCTGAAGGGGAAAAGAGTGATAATAAAAACAGACAACAGAGTGGTGGCTGCATACCTAAATCATAAAGGTGGTATGAAGTTACTTCTTCAAATGCAACCTATCATGGGCGTGGGCTATGATTTACCTGAAACATCTGAAAGCCGTGTTCCTCCCAGGAAAAGAAAATACCCTGGCAGACTCCCTAAGCAGGTCAAGCATGGACCCAGGGGAATGGTCCCTGAACAAAGAAATATTTTGTCAAATAGTGGAAATATGGGGCATGCTTCAAATAGATCTGATGGCTTCTTTCAGGAATTCACAAATACCCAGATTCTTCTTGAGGTGGAAAAACCCTCAGGCAGAAAAGCACAGGATGATCTATCCCAGAATTGGAACTTCGAGTTGGTGTATGTCTTCCCTCCAATTCCATTACTTCACACATTATTGAGGACAATTTTGCAGGAGAATTGCACAGTGATTTCAATGATACCATCAGGGCCAAGGAGACCTTGGTTTCCTCTCCTGTTATGTACCAAGGAGCCCCCATCATACTTCCACAGAGATGGAACCTGTTACTTCAGGGCCCGGCAGTTCATCCAGAGCCCCAAGCCCTTCAGTTAGCGGCATGGCGCTTGAAAAGAGGAACCTTTTAAATTCTGGCCTGTCTGAATCAGTCTCTAATACCCTATTAAAATCAAGAAAGAACTCCACTTCAGCCTCCTGTCACAAAGTGTGGAAAACTTTCAGAACCTGGAAATTGGAGAATGGGATCGCCAATGAAGAGTCATCAGTGGCTGATATCCTTAATTTACTCAAGGTAGTTTTGGAAAGGTCTAAGCCTCAGTACGTTGAAAGTACAAGTTTCATCCATTTCTGCTTTAACTAATACCAGGTGGGCTCTAAACTCTCTGAATTTGAGATTCTTCAGAGGGATTCTGAGGATAAGGCCTCCTACAAAGAAATTGACCCTTCCTTGGGACCTTCCGGTTGTTTTAGATGCCTTAACAGACGACCCGTTTGAGTCTTTAGAAGAATTGTGCATATATTTGCTGACTATTAAAACTCTCTTCCTTATTGCCATAACATCAGCCGGAAGAGTCTCGGAGCTACAGGCACTAAGCTCAGTGGAACCATACACCGTGTTTCACCAAGTTCGAGTGGTTCTTTACCCAGACCTGATTTTCTCATTAACCCCTTAAGGACACATGACATGTGGGACATGTTATGATTCCCTTTTATTCCAGATTAAGGGGTTAAAGTGGTTTCTAGGTTCCACGTTCAACAGGAGATAGTGCCTCCATCTTTTTTCCCTAATTCATCTACCTAGGAAGAAAATAATTGGAGTAAATATGATGTTGTAAGGTGCATCAGAATCTATCTACAGAAGACCATGCAGTTCAGAAAATCAGAAAGACTATTCATCCTTCCATCAGGCACCAGGAGAGGCGAAGCAGCTTCCACAGCAACGCTTAGAAGATGGATCTCGTTGGCAATTACGCTTATGCTTCCCAGGGTCTCTAAGCTCCCAGCACAATCAGACCGAATTCAACCAGAAGTTTGGCAACTTCATGGGCATCTAGGGCAGAGGTGCTGGTAGAGAATATTGTAAGGTGGCTACTTGGTCCTCTCATCATACGTTTGTAAGATACTACAAACTGGATTTGTCCTCCTCTAAATAATCTCGTTTTGGGAAAAGTGTCCTCGCTTCAGTGGCACGAAGAACCTAATAAACCTTTTGTGTGTTGAGCATCTATGAGGTCTACTGTTTAATTTATTTATCCCACTCTTCATGGAAGCTTGGGTAATACCCGTGTGTGATGCTGCAATGTTTGGCCAGGAAAGTAGAAAACGGTTTCCAGACTTACCGTAATTTTCTTTTCCTGGCTATTCTACATGGCAGCACCACACTCCCTCCCTTCTGAATTCATTAGCTATTGTTTTTTAACAAGACAGGGGAGTTTAGGGAGGAGGTGGCTTATATTAACTATTCTTAATTGTTTGATGAATTATTCCTGTCCTGACAGATGGGGAGCCAACCCATGAGTGATGCTGCCATGTAGAATAGCCAGGAAAAGAGAATTACGGTAAGAATGTAAACGGTTTTCTACTTTACAAAACAGAGTGGCTGAGATCTCCCAGCCATTCTTAGTCCTCCTATTCATTTTAACGATCTTGGACTCTAGTGTCCACTTATACAAATACATAAATAATAATCGTAATAAAATGAAATAATTCATGTTGGTTCATGGACAATGCATAAAACCCAGCCAGTAAGTGTATTGTACCTGCTTTAAACCTGTGAGAGAGTTGTGTCTCACTGCTTCTACTGGGGTTTGGAGATGTCTTGTTCCATCTGTGGTGAAACCATTTTAGGTAGTGCTTATATTGCTACATAGTAACACCTTTAGTGGCAGTCACTCAGACAGCCTTGGTCAGTTTCAGCGTCTTTACGCTCTGCATGGACACGCTGAACTTTCCTCTTAGAAATGCACCTAAATGGTGTTTCACACATTTGTATTATTGACACTGTTGTGTGCCTTTAACCCCTTAAGGACACATGACATGTGTGACATGTCATGAATCCCTTTTATTCCAGAAGTTTGGTCCTTAAGGGGTTAAATTTAGAAAATAGTCAATATTACCAGGATAGCTTTACTTTCCAATCGGCTACTCTGGCCTTAATTTAACTTTTGTATTCTCATTTAGTAAGTTACCCTGTAAAGGCATGCTGGGCCTTTGGAGACTGGACCTGTCTATAGGGGTCTGGTTTCAGATGTATAGAACGCGACTATACAGGACTCCTGGAATGTCTTCCATCCACACGGCCATCTTTTTAAACTCTTGGCTGAGAAGGCTGCAGGGGGCCTGGAATTACTCTAATATCAGTCCAGTTTATGGAAGATTTCTGTGATGATCGACACACTAGATGACTGTGGGACCTGTCTCCGCATGTGTGAGAGTGTCAGAGTCCCCCTTCACTCTTAAAGGACCACTCTAGGCACCCAGACCCCAGACCACTTCAGCTTAATGAAGTGGTCTGGGTGCCTGATCCAGCTAGGGTTAACCCATTTTTTAATAAACATAGCAGTTTCAGAGAAACTGCTATGTTTATGAATGGGTTAAGCCTTCCCCCTATTCCCTCTAGTGGCTGTCTCATTGTCAGCCACTAGAGGCATTTGCGTGCTTCTCACTGTGATTTTCACAGTGATAGCACGCCAGCATCCATAGGAAAGCATTGTAAATGCTTTCCTATGAGACCGGCTGAATGCGCGCGCAGCTCTTGCTGCGCGTGCGCATTCAGCCGGCGGGGCGTAACGGAGGAGGAGAGAAGGAGGAGAGCTCTCCGCCCAGCGCTGGAAAAAGGTAAGTTTAAACCCCTTTCCCCCTTCCAGAGCCGGGTGGGAGGGGGACCCTGAGGGTGGGGGCACCCTCAGGGCACTATAGTGCCAGGAAAACGAGTATGTCTTCCTGGCACTATAGTGGTCCTTTAATGATTGACGATTCTGCAGATTTGTTATCATGCACTTAATTCGTAACATTTGTGATAATCTGAAACAGAACAGGTTGTAATGGTTGTAATTAATGATTCGAGTTTTCCCATTTTCTTTATAAAATAGAAGGTTCAGCGGACAGATTGATCAGGGTTATTCAATGGTTTTCACTGCAGAATACAGATCTATGCTAGGGGGGCCAGAAATATATAGTCTGAGACCAATAACCATTAGAGTTCAAATTCTTTAACTTTGTCTCTACAATTCAGACTGTTTATAATATATTATATTATAAAGGGATATTCGCATAATTCCCCATTTGTTTAAAGGGACACTGTAGCCCACTTCAGCTAATTGAAGTAGTCTGGGTGCTGTGACCCTTTTGCACGTAGTGCTGCAATGTAAAACATTGCAGTTCCAGAGAAACTAGAATGTTTATCTTACAGCTCCAAGTCTGCCCTCTGGCTGTCTAACAGTCACCTTTGGGTGCTTCCGGATTTGTAACGGACCTTTAGTCGGTTATCTGACGCTGGACTTCCTCACGGACCTCCAGCGTCAGATTTACCCCATAGGAAAGCATGGAATAATGCGCGCGCGGCCACAGGTCTCCTCCGCTGACATCAGCGCCAAGGGACATCAGAGCTGGATTCAGGTAAGTGGCTGAAGGGGTTTTAAGACGACACTCCAGGATTCTCTAGTGCCAGGGAAACTGGTTTGTGTTCCTGGCGCTGGAGAATCCCTTTAATGCTTGAGTGCCCTGTGCCTTATTTCTTAATTTGCTTTAATGGATGACCAGATGTTTTTCAATATATTGTAGTGTGGTCACAGATATAAGTTAGGGCTTATGTTTCTGAGCTCTGAATACTAATGGGCTTCTCTTGACAATATTACAGGAAAAGTAGCAAACCTCATGAGGACATTATGGGCATTCGTTCCAAAAGCCATAGATTGGGAATCAACAGTGTGGGCCCAGGTCTAGCTCAGGGTAAAAACTACCTGATGAGTAAATTCTCCTCTCTTAACCAGAAAGTCAAACAGACCAATATTGGAACCTTACGGAAGCTTGGTACATTCAACAGGACAGATGTGAAGGGCTTCCTAAAACCAAACCTGCAAGTAAATGTTTGGAAATCTGACAGTAGCCTGGAAAATACTGGGTCGGAGGTGAAGGGTCACATCGAATCCGACTTAGATAATTCGTCAGACAATGACTCTTTCCATTCCGATGACTTTCTTCCCAAATCTGATGATGAAGGACATTTAACAGGTTCTCTAGAGAACATTGGCCAGAGTGATTATGTCCTACCAAGCTGTGGGATCATTGCCTCTGTGCCTCGTTTAGGAAGCCGCTCACAGTCTGTCAGCAGCGCTGAGCTCAATCTCCACATCTCTACAGAGATTCATGTTACCCAGTGCAATGAACCTGAGAGCAGAGAGGCCTCACCAGAAGACCAAGTCCTAATAGACTTTGGAACCCCGATCGATGCCTACTGCCACCAGTTTGTCCATGATGCACAGACCAAACAGAATGTCAATGAGACTGTTAATAAGGAGGAGAAAATGGACCAAGGACAATCAAGCAATCACTCTAAAATTCCATCCAGTACAGCAGAAACAGAAATAGAACAATTTTTCCGGCCATCACAGCTTGATGTAGATGTCAGCAACACTGGTTCCCTATTACCTGTGGATATATCTCTGTCAGCTCGAGTGACACCTGGTTCGGGCTCCGCTTCTGCAGCTTCTCCAGCAGACAGCAGCAGCAGTCGAGCCGTGTCTCCTTTTGCCAAGATACGAAGTTCTGTGGCCCAGGTGGCCAACATCACCCAGGCTGGTCTGACTCAAGGCATCAATTTTGCTGTCTCAAAAGTACAAAAGAGTCCAGAACCTGAATCTGTCCCTGCACCCCAGAAGAATGACATTAAGGAGATGTTTACACAGTGTCAGACACGGATAATACAGATATGACTGTACTTACATGTTTGAGAATGTGTTAATTAACGCAAAATATATCAAATTCCAGTCCTTTTGGGGCCCTACCATGCTAGAGGTGTTTGCAATCACTTCCTATTCAAGACCAATGACCACAGTGGGGAAGCCAGCCTGAGCATCACTGAGGCAGTCCTACTCTTGATGATCAGGTTGCCTTTACACAGAAAATATAACCAGAACGTAGCCTGCTATTCATTCAAAGGGACATCCAGGCCCTTACATCTGATGCTCATGCAGAAAGTACCATTGGACTGAATGAACCTTAACTGCCGTCCATGCACTGGGATCAAGCGAACACATCATGTTTACAATTGTTTTTGTCCACTTGTTTGTGATTTCTAAATGTGGTACGTGGCATCTGTTGGTGGTCAGTCATGCACAGTAAGTGAGGCAGCAACGCCTTCATTTTTTAGGAAATGGGAACGTTTTTTTGTTTTATGGTTTTGTTCCTGTTCTTGTTTTTACCAGGGCCAGCAGTTAGATTTTAGTACTATTTATTTTTTAGATCTTTTTATATATCTATAAATATTGTCACACATGGAATATAAAATCTGAATATTCCTTTAAAATAAGCGCCTGAACGTAACCATTTGGCATTGGTAAGTCATGATAAATTACTGCTAGTTACATACTTTTTGCACGTTTCTTTGCACCTAGCCTTAAATTATTTTTATTTTTTTTAGAATGCATTTTGCTGGCCAGTGTCTTAGAAATCTCAGGCACACAAAGCATTAACCATGCCTCCATTGTTTGCACATTACAGCTCCTTATTTCAAAACTGTTTTAAACACTGGCAAGTCTTGTGTGTTGTTGGGGTTCAGTGGCGCTTGGGTAATGGACTCTGACAGAGCTGTTTTGGGGGTGTAGTCTGAGGGGTTAAGCTGGGACCCTGCCTTTAACGTCTCTGTACTTGAGGACAAGTTTGTATTCACAGCACACTGCGATCCATATGATTAATAACGTAGAGCGCTTTCAATGACTAAATGGAAGTTCTATTATAATAGAACCGTTTTAAAGGAAATAATATATATGTATGTATAGATATAACCTGTAGACTATTTCCAGGCGATTGGATGCCGTGGTAATGTGGTTTGTGTATACACTGTATATTGGCAGTATTTAAACCGATTTACATCTCTGCCCCTTGTGGTACTTAGTGCTCTGTGCTCCATGCTGTATATTTATTTTATTTTTAATTATTTCTTACATCACAGATGTGTCTTTTCCCTTATTTGTAGTACCTGACCAGAAAATATGGCTGTATGTTAAACAAGTTAAATTATTTTAATTAAAAAAAACACACACACAAAAAAAATCCCTTCTTTGTAGCATGTTTCAATGGGTTAATTGCAGTAACGGTTTGTTCTGTTTAAATCCACAGGGAAAAAACAAGTTCTTTAAGCAACAAGGTTATCTTGCCAACACTTTCTAAACTGCGATTGGGAGGAAAAAAACACAAAACAAACTCATTTCAGCTGCATTTATAATGTACATTTACACATCATGGCAGTGGTTGGATGAGTGTTGCCAGGGACGAAGACCCCATTTGTCAAACCGCTCCTGTACAGATTGATATTAATGGGGTGTATAGTTCCCTATAGCTCGGTGTATCTACGCAGGCAGTTCACCTATAGTGAGAGCTCGACTAACTCAAATATGATCCAATGGTTGGAGCTGAAGTGATGGGGAAAACTCAATCCTTTTCTTTTAACAGGAGCATTCAACGCTGCACAGTCACAAAATGAGTGAAGGAACGTCTGCTCTGCCAATCTCAACACGGGCACCACAGGGGGAACCATATAATGGGAGCTAGATAGTGGCTCCGCATTAATGGTACATACACTATAGGCAAATCATTTAATTCGGTTTGAAGTGCAGATAAATGTGTTCATTACGCTAATGTAGATCGTAGTTAGAAATAGAAAATGAAGCCGCTAGGATATGTTAAAGAGAAACTATCGTCACCAGAACGACAGCTTAATGTATAGTATACAGCTCAATGTATAGTATACAGCTCAATGTATAGTAGACAGCTTAAAGGGACATTGTAGCCACCCAGACCACTACTGCCCCTTGGGGTGGTCTGGGTGCCAACTCCCACTACCCTTAACCCTGCAAGTGTAATTATTGCAGGTTTTTATCTAAACTGTAATAATTACCATGCAGGGTTAAAGGACCACTATAGTGCCAGGAAAACTCATTTTCCTGGCACTATAGTGCCCTGAGGGACCTGGCACCCAGACCACTTCATTAAGCTGAAGGGGTCTGGCTGCTTAGAGTGGTCCTTTAAGTCCTCCCCTGGCGGCAGTCTACTAGACAGCCACTAGAGGGCACTTCCTGCTCCATAGCACAAGTTTTCCTGTGCTAGAGCGTCGCTGGACGTCCTTACGCTGTGAGGACCTCCCGCGTCTCTCAATTTCCCATAGGAATTCCCCGTTTTCAATGCTTTCCTATGCATGCGCATTAGGTCTCCTCAGCGGGCAGGCGGGATCAGTCTCACCCACCGGCTGACTGAAGGAATAGGAGGAGTGGGATTTTCACCCATTCAGCAACCGGGGGTGGGAGGGAGAGGGGACCTGCAAAACGGATTGTTTTCCTGGCACTGGAGTGTCCCTTTAAGGTATGGTAGACCGCTCAAAGTAGTTGTTCAGGTCTATAGCCATTCCTTGCAGACTTTTTGCGGTGAACAGTTTTACATTAAAGCCCAGAGATACTTCCACTGGCCACTCTTTAGAAGGTCACTAAAGGTGCTTCCTGGGGCTGGGCTGCACAGTATATAGAACCTATGTTCGGTGTTCCCCCAACCTCTGTAGGGAGACACTGAATTTTTCCCATCGTGATTGCATCAATTCAATGCATCCCTATTAAGAGATGCTGATTGGCCAGGGGGTGTTTGGCTCTGGCCTGCCTCCTTGGCGGAGATCACTTCTGATGTCAGCCAAGGAGCTAGGACCAGTAGACTGAAAATAAGGTACAATTTTAGTATATTTAGGAGGGGTGGGGGTGGATGGTGATTTTAAACACTACAGGATCAGGAATGCATGTGTGTTCCTCGGCCTGTAGAATTCCTTTAAGTGAAAGAAGAGGGGTCTTCCTCATTTATTATATTTATATAGCGCTATCAGATTCCGTAGCACTGTACAATGGGTGGACTAAAAGACGTAATTGTAACCAGAAAACTGGATGTACAGGAACAGAGAGGTGGAGGGCCCTGCTCAATGAGCTTACATTCTAGAGGGAGTGGTGTATAGTGACATACGGGGTAAAAGTAGGGCTACGAAGTAGGCTGTTAGAAAAGTATTCACTGAGGGCTTAGTAGGTAATTTGTAACAGTTGCAGGAGAGGAGTCATGGAGGGTGGGGGATGAAAACCTAACCCTTTAATTGATATGCTTTCTTGAAGTGAGTTTTCAATGATTTTTTTTGAATGAGTGGAGACTGGGTGAAATTCTTACGGAGAAGGGAAGGGAGTTCCACAGAAGAGGTGCAGCCCTGGAAAAGTCCTGGAGGCGAGCGTTAAAGGTGGGAGTCCGGACAGAGGATATACGTAGGTCTTTGGCAGAGCGTAGGGGCCTCAATGGGACATACTTGTGTATTAGGGAGGATAGGAAGGTTGGAGCAGCATTATGTAAATGGTAGTGGATTCAGCGCTTAGTGTCTCAATGGAATAGTGTAGAGTATGAATATAGGCAGCAACCTAAAATAAAGACGTTCCCTAACAGTACGTCAAAAAAAGGGGAAATCTAAAGGAAAGAAGGTATTAGGTTGTGCCAGAAAGTGAGTAACAAGATAAAACAGATAATACAACCGTAGATAAAAACAGAAATATCTTAATATAAAACAACTAAAACACTATATTCACCATTTCGTTCAAGAATCCTAGGTGGGGATTATACCACCTATGCCATACAAGTGAGCAGTATATCCTGCTCACTTAAATGTGAGTATTCTATATATATTTTATTTCTACGTAATTACAACATGTATACAGTGAGCACTATTCTGTTACCCTCTTCTCTCTCGAGGATCTTCGTTACGTGCATACATCTATATCCCACCAGTGGGGGACCAATACCACTGAATGCGAAGTACACCTGAGCTAGTTCAAGCTCCAATATAGGCGAGTGTGATACCTTTTCACTTTGAATCCTCACAAAAAAGCGGAAGATACAGTCTACACTATTGGATTTTTTCTTTTGTTCTCTTTTGCATATTGGTACCTGGAACAAGATGCTACACTCATTTCTCCAATTCCATTTGGACTATTTCCTTCCCTCAAGTGGATGTGACCATTCCCTGCTTATTTTAGGACTGTATCTTTTTCTCTCTGTATGTACTGATATATGTAAGTACTTACCACATTACATATGTTTTATATGAAGATATTTCAGTTTTTATCTACGGTTGTATTATCTGTTTTATCTTGCTACATTTACTTTCTGGTGCGACCTAATACCTTCTTTCCTTTGGAGCAGCATTATGTAGGGACTTGTAAGTAAGCACCAGAATTTTAAAGGAACACTATAGGGTCAGGAACACAAACTTGTATTCCTGACCCTATAGCGTTAACACCACCACCTAGCCCCCCTGAGCCCCTCATGTCTCCATAAATATAGTAAAAATCTTACTGTATTCAAGGATGAAGCTGTAACTCTGCATGCTGTTAGACTTATAAAAACAAGCAGTCTGCTGACATCATCAGAAGTGGTAGCCTGATCCAATCACAATGCCTCCCCATAGGATTGGCTGAGACTGACAAAGAGGCAGATCAGGGGCAGAGCCAGCAAGATTCAAACACAGCCCTGGCCAATCAGCATCTCCTCATAGAGATGAATTGAATCAATGAATCTCTATGAGGAAAGTTCAGTGTCTGCATGCAGAGGGAGGAGATACTGAATCACAGGATGCTGTGCACAGTGCTGCCATTAGCTCTGCTAACAGCAGATCTGAGTGGATTGAGGACAAGGTGGTAGAAGGAGGGGAGTAAAAGGGCAAAGAAGAGCATCAAAAGTGTGAAATAGGTGTTTGGGTTGAGGGGACAGTGTACTTATGAGGGTGTTAAAGTAATTTACTTTTGCAGTGGAAAGAGCCAGGCTGTAGGAGCACAGCATAAATTTATAGTATAGGAAGTCAGATGCAAAGTGAGACTTTCTCCAGCAGCGTTCAGCAGTTCTGGAGCATTTTTGGAGGTAACGGGTCAGCTTGGTGTGCTACGGTTGAGCCATGTCCTGGTTTGCAGTAGGGAGCTTTTAAAATCAGACTGTGAAAAGAGAGAGGATAGGGTCAAAAAAGCCTGCAATAAAACTATGGAATGGAGATGCACAGAGGAGGTGAGGATTGGTCAAGCAAGACCATTTGGGTGGGTATCAATACAATATGTGGGGGGAGGGAAGTATGCAGAAATAGTCTTTATTGATAACTTAAAATGTTATTCAACTATCTGCTTAAACCAATGATGAGTGGGGCTGAGAACAACTAGCTTTAGCATGCAGAACAAGACAAACATATATATTTTCTATGAAGGCCCACCCAAGCAGGGCTATGAATTGAAATGCAAATGGTTGGGAATTTAAAATGACCTGGAGCATATTTTCAGTTCTTACCTTAGTGAACAACCCTGAAAGTCCATGTTTTTGTGATTTATAAAGCGCCAAATTCCATAGTGCAGTACAATGGGTGGACAACCAGATGAGTTGGAGAGACAGGAACTCCAGGGGTTAGAGCCCTGCTCAATGAGCTCACATGCTGGAGGGATATCATGACACGAAAGGTTTTCACTGAGCTGAATGGGTTGTTTGACAGTTGCAGGAGAGGTGCAGGTAAGGAAAGCTATAAACTGTTTAATGGATGCGCTTTCACTCAGAAGGGAGTTTTAAATTATTTTTGTGATGGAATAGAAACTGGGTGAGAGTAACTGAGCAAGGAAGGGAGTTCCATAGGAACAGTGCAGCCCTACAGAAGTCTCAAAAATAAACATCAGAGATGAGTTCAAATGCAAGTGTTCTTCTACAGCAGGGGAGTCCAAGAGGTACATCCCCAGATATTTTAAAACTACAGCTTCCATGATGCTTTGTCATTCTAAAAGGCACACAAAGCATTATGGGAATTGGTCTACGTCATCTGGGGATCTATCTTTTTGGCACCCCTGTTCCAGGAGCAACACTTTAGCAGCATTTAGTTTGGTACACACCAGACCGATGAAGTGTTATTTGTCCCCCTCTCCACCCACCTTTCAGTGGTCCTGCTCTAGGTGGCACATTGCCAATCATTGTTAATATGGTGAGTGGAGAACCTGTGTAGGACTTGAAGTGCTATATCACTCTGGGCTCTTCTAGTGTCCTTGGCGTTTAGTAAAAACACTGCAGGTATTCAAAGTGCTGATTCAAAGATAATTTTGTGTTTAAGGCCAGAGCAGTCAAACTGAAATAGCTTTTCAAATTCAGCTTTTTTTTTTTTTTTTACTTACATTTGAAAAATCACTGAATTCTCCCTTTAGTGAATAACCCTGTAAATCATGAACCGTTGGTCCTCTCAGCTTGACAGGAGCCTTCGTGGAGCGATAAAAGCGGCTTGTACATGGATCGAATGGTATATTACAATTGTCTGCTAAGGATTTGACAAGTCTGCCCCAGGCTTTATTTAAAAAAAAAAAAAAAAGGGAGAGCCATTAAAGGGACACTATAGGCACTCAGACCACTTCATCTCATTGAAGTGGCTTGGGTGCAATGTTCCTGTCCCCTTAACCCTCAATTGGAACCATTTCAGTTATTGAGAAACTGCAATAATTCCCTTTCAGAACCCTTTAGGGTTAACTCCACCTTGAGTGGCGTTTCCGGGTCCTTCTAAAAGACGCTGCACTGCCTCACACTTAACATCCAGCGTCAGCTAAAACCTCACAACGCATGGCTTCACAGATTTCCTATGGGGACGTTCTCATGCAATAGTGGTATGTCACACATTGTGTGCTGAAGGGAAAGACAATACATAAAGACAATCTACCCTGGGGGGGAAACGAACTTTAACAACTTGCTTTGGCAATATGTAGCTGGTATGTAAAACCAAAGTTACATTTGAGGTAAAAGATGAATTGAGTTTTTTTGGCTTATCCTGAACTGTGATCCCTCCGCAGTTCTTCCAATGTAGTGAATAAAATGGAAACATTTCAATCCGCTATATCTGTCTAAAATGGGACCTTCAAACGTTAGAGAATAATCCTCAGTAGGAGTTAATCACTAAACACCAGATTTAGGTTACATAAACCAAGCTGTAATGGAGTTGGGATTCTTCCAATTCACTACATTGAGTTTTGTTCTGTATAATGTACATACTCCACTTAGACCTGCTCCAGAAAAAGAATTTCTCTTTCCTAGCCTGAAAACAAGTCTCCCCCCGCAACCACTTTTTAATCTGACTCCTGTAATACAGTTTGTCGTCATCTTCTGAGGGACTGTACTACAGACAGCAGGACCCTGAGGGAAGGGCTGGGGAAGTGAAGCCCACCATAAGCAATAATAGGCAGTGTATAATATAAACAAAACATTTATTTTTTTTGTATCAAAAATATGTCCAGCAAATAAAGGTCTGGTTAGTATTTTGAATGTTTAAAAGAAAATTCTTTCAGAATGAGTCTGGTTTCAGTCATTTGCCCATCTGTCTCAGTTTATAGCGGAGCAATGGGGACCCACAAAATTAAGCCTTCCCTCCCATCTAAAATGTATTATGGAGGGAGGATTCACTATTACAAAATAGTCAGGGGCTGACAAAAGGAGAGCATCTACTCAGAGCTCATTCCCATTCAGATAAGTCTTTTCCTGAAGTCGAGCTTTCCGTTGCAGCTCCAGCTGTTTTGCACGGAGCCACGTGTCTCGGGATAGTGTGGTCAGACCAACGCTTAGCGACACCAACCTGTAGGAGACAGAACCGATTATCAGCCATTACAGCAGGACACGGGCTAGAGTAAACAAGATACAAATAATCCAAATAGATTCTGTAAAAGCTCAGACAAGATCCAGACTGTGCTCCGCTAGATGTGAGCATTCCCAGAGAGATCAGCAAAAGGCTGCAGTTTAACTCACTGAATAATACAGAGATCAGACCAGCCACATACAGAGTAACATTTAAACCTTGTATTACAATTAGGTGGTAGAGTTTACCACACTTGAAAACAAGGCCCAACTAAATGAACTGTATAGGATTTCCCAATCCTGTCAATCAGTTTAGCCTAAAAAAAAACCAGACAGAAAAAACAGGCAATTCCCGCTTTGTAAATTTACACACATTCAGCCAAATCTAGTGGATTCATTCCCTGTGCCATTAGGAGACAGCCGTAGGGCCACATTTACATTCATTAAAGGCACATGATATGCCCCCAGACCATGCCAGCACATTGAAGTGGTCTGAGTCTCTGTCCCCTTAACCCTGCACTCCTAAGTTACTGCAATAATTGCAGAGTTGACCACCTCTAGTGGCTGTCTACGAGAAAGCCACTAGAGGTGCTTCTGGGTCATTAAGGGACTTTCGGGCGCCTGATACTGAACATCCTCACACTCTGCATGAGGACATCCACCGTCCGCAAATAAACCCGGAGGAAAGCATTTGCTTAACCCCTTAAGGACAGCGGGCGTGCTATGCCATCCTTGGGGACTTTGCTCTAAACACCAGCGGGCGGCATAGCACGTCCCTGCTGTCCTTTGTACTTACCCGCTCGCCGACGATTGCGGTGGAGGGGACGTACCTGCCATGCCAGGGAATCCCCATGGCCATGTGATCGCGAGGTCCTTGTGAGGAACTCACGATCACATAGACGGCTTAGCCGTCCACAGCATTGCCAGCAGGGGGAGTGCCTGGAATGACAAGTACTCCCTCTGCTGCCTGTAAAAAAAAAATAAAGTTAAAAACACAAATATGCCTACATGTATTTTAAAAAATATATTATGAATACCGCACTCTAATGGTAATAAAGATAAATAATACTTGTTATTGCTGAGATAAATTCATAATGTTTATTCTAAATAAATTTATATAAAGTATGATGGTAGAAATGTTCATTTCATCCTGAGTACACCAATTATATACAAGGAATATATACAATATAAACAGTATATACAGAATTTTCCATGTGTTGGATAAAGTTCATCTAATGTGTATACACTTGATGATCTTTACAAGTCGAGAAAAAATTGAAAAAAAATTAAAAAAAATGTAAAAAATGAAAAAAATCCCCAATCCAAAACCGAAAAGAGAAAAGGGGAAATAAGGAGAAAAAAGGATAAAAAGAAAGAAAAAAAGAAAGAAAAAAAACAATATGAG